AAAAGTACCCTACATTTTTAGGTGGGCCTTGGAAAATTAAACAAATGAAACACGATGCATTATAAAATAATAACAGCCGTAATTTGTAAATTATTCTGCTGTGTTTACATTCAGAAAGTGCAGTTTTTTGAATATGTAAGCTTTTCTAATATGCCGATTTCTAACCAAGAAGTATTTAATATGCTGGCGGCGGTGGTTCGTGGTCGATTCGGATAACGCAAATAGAAGATGCGGGCAGCGATGGTCGCATTTTGAAAATACTCAAAATATATCGCCAGCGTATTAAATGTAAACAGCAGAATAATTTACAAATTACGGCTGTTATTATTTTATAATGCATCGGGTTTCATTTGTTTAATTTTCCAAGGCCTACCTAAAAATGTAGGGTACTTTTCTTTCACGCCATCGACAAATACCTGAAATACGTAAAAAGTAAATTTAAGATACAAGTTAAGCATTTCTATTAATTAATTAATTAATCTCATTTTCCTAATATTTGAGATAAGGAACGAGACTTTGAAAAACAGTGTTCACTGGCCTCTTTGTATGTTATTTGGCTCCTTTTTCATAAAGAAAAAGCCATATCATTCCATTTGATTTTTTTAGGATTTTGGGTCATAGCGTCAAAACTAGCCCCTGGCACAAATTTGATAAAGAATCCCCCATGCCAAATTTCATCGTAATCGATCCATTCGTTTTCGAGATTTCGTGCTCACGGACACACCGACGGACGGACAGACACAAAATTATCAACCGGTTAGGAACTCGTCAATAATTGAAAATCTTTGTTATTTGAAGTATTTTGGTTATGCCGCATTAAGAACTTTTGTAGACAATTTAATATCATATGATCTAATAATACAGGGTGTAATTAGCTGTAGCGCCTACAATTTTTGTCTGAATTATTTAGTCCAATAAAAATCACTTCAAAATACTACAAAACGGCAATAATTAAAATATTTTAACTGATTACTTTAAGGGGATACTAATAGTTGATTCAAATAATATGTTTTTTTAATTGAATTTCATGGAATTTGTCCATCTAACTTCAATGATTAATATCAAAGTTACTTTTTATTGGAATTTTTCACACACAAAATGAAAGAAGATAGTTTTTCAAAATTTTGTAGCATGCCATGGAAACAATAATCTTTACGCATCAAGTGTAACAGAAATCGTGAAAGATTTTATAGCATGCCGTGGAAATAATCGTTTAATAGCTGTCATTACGTTTTAGTGTGCCATTTTTTATTGACGGGACTCAATCAACAACGACACCATTACATATGGAATGAAATTAAATTTAAGCAATTTCTGTAGAATTAACATCATTTGCTCACGATTTCTGTTCCAGTCGATGCGTAAAGAGGATTTTTTCCATGGCATACTGCACAATTTTGAAAAATTCACTTCTTTAATTTTTTGTTGAATTTTAGGGAGACAAATTCTATCAAATTCAATTAAAAAAACATAATCATTTCATGCCATTTAAAACGAGTGTTTAAGTCAATTATTAATAGCCCCCGACAATAATAATCTTATATATTTTAATTATGGCCGTGTTGTAGCATTTTTGTCATTAACTATGGTTTTTGTTGCATTGAAATCGGACAAAAAACGTAAACTTACGTTTACGCTTATGGCATTTTTTAAATTACACCCTGTACCTATATAGATTTTGGTGCAGTGGAGCAACAGAACATCAAGTAATTTTCTAGCCACGTTTCAGATCGCAGAAGAGTTGGAGTATAATAGGTTTCATTTACAATAGTTGTGTATTTTTCCCGCTAGAGGTCGTGCAGATGGTTCCGTGGTTAATACTTTTTCTACGTGCCATTTCCTGTACAGAACAGATTCGATCGTTTACTTGTAAAGAATACACGCCATATTCTTTCTTTCCCTTTTTAAAAGGGATTTAATGACTGTACGATATTTTGGTGAAGTTTTTCTCTTGTGATTGGTTTTCTACGCTTCGTTGAAACGTTTTTGCGGATATATTTACTAGTTCTGAGGTATATACCAACAATATTGCGTATGAAATTTGGCTTTGAATAATTATTTTTAGGCTATTTATTGCTGGGTTATTCTTTTCTTCATTAATGTCTAACTGATTATCGCTACCTACATCGACATGCTTTGTGGAAAGCTACGTAGAATTTTGGATTTACCATTATTGCACCATAAGGAACTTCCATTGGAAAATTCCAGGGCCGTCTTATTGGTTCTATTGTTCCTGAATTGTAACTGTAGGTATTACGAAACCTTTGGAGATTATTGCTCTTGTGAATCGCTTCGATATTTTAAGTTAAGTTTTAATTTTAAGTTACCCTCGATTGTGACAACAATTATTATTTATGTTGTACCCCTTCAGTTATTTTATTTCTTTAACTGATCAGGACCATCACAAGGATCTCTTAGTCTGCCTTGTTTCTTCCTTTAGGTAAGCATTTTCTCTTTTCTTTTAGAAATTCACTAAAGACATTGGCGCCTATTCGATTTACCACTACTACATGTCCTTTTGCTTGATGTTGGCCGGTGTACCCCCTTATTCGCCCCGATCTACCTCTACGTTGCCTGAGCTTACTTATTTGTTATGTTTGCTCAAAGTGATGGGTGTGAATATTTTCAATTACACATAGTGCTTTTTGGCCTGGGCGTGAAGGAATAAAATTTTGTAATTAACTGTATATAATGCATATTAGGTTTTGTAAACGTATCATTTGTTGTAAATTTAAATTTAGAATAGAGGGAATGTACTTTGGCCGAAGAAAGGCTTGGCAGCAGGGAGAGAGGGACCGTAATCTTTAGTGCTAGTAAAGTCGTTGTGGAACTCTGTTTGTAAGCGCAAGTTTTAACGTTGCGAAATATCAAAAAGGCGCCTAAAACTATTGTCGTTTTAGGACAATAATACTCAATAAAAAAGTGTAAATTAGAGCGAGTGTATTTGCCAACTAATCGGATCGCTATCAGCGCGAAAGAAATTGCATCACCATTTACGTGCCAATATACCGTAGTGGAAAATTTCCTAAAAGGTGAAATCACAGTAACGCGCAGTTGAAGCGAACTCCTTACTATGAAAGGACCAAAGGCTTAAGCTTGCGTTTGTTTATCGCCAGTGTTTGTCTCTAAATTTGACAAAGCAGTGACGATCTAAATAAGTTACCGGAGTTTACCCGAGGAGACTGCAGCGGAGGGTTGCAGATTTCAAAGTACCAGGACGTAGCCATCTACGACATCGACAATTTGCGAGTCGCAGAAAAATTCCAAGGTTCGACCTTGACCGAATCAAATTCAACAACTCCCGTTGAATCAAGAGACTTCATTCATAAGGTAAAAAAACAATATTCCTTCATACTAATTAAAATCCAACGGCGTACGTATTTTATAACTCGCGGTCGCTTTCCGTAGAAATTAATGACAATTTATTTACGAAGTTTGACATCGACACCGAGAAACGGAGGATAAGAAGAATATACACGGTGAATTATTGATAATTTTTAACCGATAGTTACAAAATGGCACTCAATCGATGGGCTTCGGACCATCAACACCTGTAAAGAGGAGTCTCAATGCAAATAAATCGATACCAGTGACGTACCGAGGAAAATTTTTATGAAACAAAACATTTTTTTACCGGTTTCAAGAAAGCGACTAGAACAGTTAGTGAAGACATCGTATTTAATCAAGAAAGCCAAGACATCATAGGAGCCCCTCAAGTACAACCTCAAGAAAGTGGACCTAACAATTTTGGAAAAATTAATGCAAGACATGAAGGCAGGACAAGAAGAAATGAAAGAAGAGATGAAAGTGGGACAAGAACCAGTCATCAAAAGTCACGATTAGAATATGGAACAATTACGAAGTAAATGCTGTCCAGTACAGGGAAGATCGAGAACAAGGAGACGGAATAACGATGACAGAAATTATGAAGAAAGAGACAGATATGAAGAAAGGGGGCCACAGAGGCAAGTTATGGAAAGAGAAGTTCGGAGAAACCAGTAGAAAGTTGGATTAGTAGTTCTGCTGATTTTTGGAAGTATAAAAGTATAATTAAGGTAAGTTCCGAAATACGTCACACCGACATCGACACCGAGAATTGAAGGAGAAGAAGAATATACACGGCGAATCATCGATAATTTGTAACCGTCAGTTACAGTGATTGTAACAAATGTAATAGCCCGTTACATAATCTTTATTTCTTTTCGTTTATTTTTTGGGTGATCGGTGTCCGAACTAAAAATGCGAACGAACGAAGGGGTGTTTAATATCGGTATCAGATCGAGAAAATTTGGAATGTAACGCGGCAAACCGTCACTTCTGCCAAATTGAAGACTGGAAACCGTACACCCCCAAATGAGTAAAAGCATTCACTAAATCCTAATTTATTCCTAATCGGTGTTTGGTTTATACAGGGTGTTTAATATTTAAGGGGGCGATTCTAGGACCCATTTCAAGAAAAAAAATTCCTATGAACCTTTTATCTTTTGAGATACATGGTAGTAAAGTTTTAAAAAAATCAGTTTTTAATAATAACAGAGATAATATTGTGGACATCTTTTTTAAATTTGGTACATGTCTTCTATGCATCATCTGATGTGCAAAAGTGTCTATTTTCTCTACCAGTGGCGTCCGTACGGCTTTTGCATTGAATATGTTTGGAGAAAAAAATACTACACCACTGCTTTTTCTTAAAATAAAAAATCCTCATTCATTTTTGAGCAAATTTGATCTTTCGGTTTTTATTATTGTTTTTCTTGAAGTAAATCGATTTTAATTTTTTTACCATGCGTCAGACAAAGAAAAACCAGAAGATCAAATTTGCTCAAAAATGAAGGAGGATTTTTAAAATAAAAGCAGTGGCGTAGTATTTTTGTCTCCAAAAATATTTAACGCAAAAGCCGTACGGACACCACTGGTAGAAAAATTAAAAACTTTTGCAAATCAGAAAATGCATCTGCAATGTACCAAATTTCATAAAGATGTCTACAATATTTTTCTGTTATTAAAAAAATTGATTTTTTTTCAACTTTACCACCCTGTAGGTATCTCAAAAATTACAACGTTTACGACATACGTTCCTAGGAAGTTTTTTTCTAAGAATCACCCCCTTAAATATTAGCATGTCTTTAAGGAACACCCTGTATACATTTTCCTACGTATCTAAACAATTGTGACTGATTATCTACTTTTTGTATAAACATTTATAAACGGGTTTTTTCCAAAAGTGGTAGGTAAACAGTGAGTGAATTTATTTTTCACATAAAGTTACTACCTATACTAGGCCACCAAATGGGGCTAAAATGCAACATACGCATTCCATCGATTATGGTGTTATGTGGAACCCATGCGCAATAAACTTAATTTTTGACCTAACGATACCCTTGGAATAAATCACTGCCATTGAATCGTTATCAAAGGTACGTTTTATCACACTGGATAAGTATCTCCACATTTTTCCGCGATTATCATTTGATAGAAAAATGGAGCGTGAAAAGCAATGCTTAGAAGACGCTATTGCACCTCCACGTAAGTTCCAGCGTCCAGCGCGCCAGTTAACGATGGTTTTTAGGAGTCATCGGTGCTCGGCATCTCCAAGTGGCATTGCTCTTCTTGGTAGTGAATGTGTCATATTTGATGAGGAGCAACATGTCCGTCGCCATAGTCGCGATGACCGACCCGGACACCAGTCCAAACCCTGACGTTCCGGTAAGTGCATTTGTAACCAAGTGGTTCATTCACCCTTCGCTTTTAGACTTACGAGTGGAACGACAAAAGCATAATCCTCACGGCGTTCTACGTGGGTTACATCATCCCGCAGGTTACAGCGGGGCAGCTTGCGAAAAACTACGGGCCCAAGTGGATCCTAACAGCGGCCGTACTTGCCGGTTCCTTGCTGACGATTTTGACCCCGCTCGTTGCAGATTTGGGGTCTTGGCCGGTGTCAGTGTCGCGCGTGCTTCAGGGAGTAACTCAGGGATTTATTTTTCCATCGTGCCACACGTTACTTTCGAAATGGGTCCCCCCGTGTGAAAGGGCTCGTTTGTGCGCTTTCGTGTACGCAGGTTCGTATTGATAACTGCTGCGAGATTAATCGTTTAGGTATCCCCGTCGGTACGGCACTTACAATGACGCTCACTGGGTTCCTATCGGCAACGTGGATGGGGTGGCCTTCCGCGTTTTACATCTTTGGAGCGGTCGGCTTGATCTGGACGCTAACTTGGGTTGTACTGGGAAGGAATAGTCCCGCCGCACATGGCGGGATGGACTATCGCGAAAAATTGTACATTGAAAAATCGCTGGGGCAAGTAGTTCGCACAGAGGTCGGTGTCCATCAGTCACTTCGCGTAACCAGGAAATTTTCTAGGCAGCCGCAACGCCTTGGAAGGCGATCCTCACGTCTGCGCCGGTTTGGGCCTTGACCGCAGCCTATTTCGCCCACGGTTGGGGCTTTTCGACGTTGAACACGAACGTGCCGAGCTACATGGCGAAAGTGCTCAACTTTAATATCGCAGGCGTAAGTTTCTGAACCAGTTTCCAGGGGTAATGCATCGGATTCTTCGCAGAGTGGAATTTTATCAGCCGCCCCTTACTTGCTCTTCTGGCTGGTTAGTATTATAGTCAGCGCGATAACTGACTTTGTCATCACTCGCAAGTACGTGACGGTAGGAACCGCTAGAAAGGTTGCGAATAGTATTGGTAGGTCACTGGCTCACCCCCGACACCCTCTAACCGATTCCAACAGGTCTCTACGTCCCCGCCGTCGCTTTAATAGTGCTCGGTTTGATTAGCGACTCCAAATCCGATATTACCATCGTAACGCTCGTTCTTCTGTTCATCGCCATCGCAATCAACGGCAGCGCCTACAGCGGCTACCGCGTCAACCACATGGACCTCTCACTCGCACACGCGGGCGTCCTTATGGGAATCACCAACACGATTGCGAGCATATCATCAATCATAGCACCTCTTTTGCTACACTTCATCGTAACCAATGAGGTACGTCTTCAAGATCGACGGGCTGCTAATTGACGGCACACTTTCAGAATGATCCCCTGCAATGGGCCACGATCTTTTACATAGCCGCCCCCATCTACATTGTGGGAAATACAATTTTCTTAATCTTCGGATCGGGCGAAACGCAACCATGGAACGGACCATAATCTACATACTTGTACCATTGGTTTAATTCGACGATTTGATCAAGATCAATTTTTAAGCAAGCATTGTGGACTATTAAACGAGCTTTATGCTTCATTACCAACAAACTGAATGGGGTTTTAGCGCTGCGTATCTGCTTAATACATTTACAAGTCACGAACTGGAAGTTTCAATTTAAGTAGTTGAATGGGCAATTTCAAGGTATGAAGGTTTCCTATCCCACCCTTCATGGCACATGTAGTACTTTTTATGTATTTGCATTCGGTCGTTAAAACTCGAAATACTGATTGCTCCACTAGGTTGATCCAAATGGTCTCATATAATGAATGGCTCCTTTGATTTAAAATTGAAACACAGTCACTTAAAATTTAGGTGAACCGCCAGTAAATGTCAATGTCAGCTGTTATTATTATTTAAACGCGTTTTTGATTTTTTAAACCGGTTAAAACAAATAGCCTAAGAGTTCTCCCTTATTATTCAACTGATAAAAAACGGAATTTCCAAAACCGTTAAAGCGATCCATTTATTACTGTTTTGAATACAAGAAAATGACCTTAATTATACAGCAACACTAAGAACTACCCCTCGGTCGTTAAAACTCGAAATACTGATTGCTCCACTAGGTTGATCCAAATGGTCTCATATAATGAATGGCTCCTTTGATTTAAAATTGAAACACAGTCACTTAAAATTTAGGTGAACCGCCAGTAAATGTCAATGTCAGCTGTTATTATTATTTAAACGCGTTTTTGATTTTTTAAACCGGTTAAAACAAATAGCCTAAGAGTTCTCCCTTATTATTCAACTGATAAAAAACGGAATTTCCAAAACCGTTAAAGCGATCCATTTATTACTGTTTTGAATACAAGAAAATGACCTTAATTATACAGCAACACTAAGAACTACCCCTCGGTCGTTAAAACTCGAAATACTGATTGCTCCACTAGGTTGATCCAAATAGTTGAAAGGTCTCATATAATGAATGGCTCCTTTGATTTAAAATTGAAACACAGTCACCTAAAATCTAGTTGATCCCCCGGTAAATGTCAATTTCATATAATAGCTATTTATTTATAAAAGGCGTCATAAGGTTCTTTATCCACGCGAGAAAAATTTAATTTCCGAGGTCGAAATGGGTCGTGACTGTTAATGTGACAATGATAGATTCATTACATGAAACAAATCGAAGACGCTTAAGACGAGGTTTCTAAGGAGTTGTGGTTATTTATTTGAGTAATACAATTTTATCCACTAGTGGATAATGTGTAATTTTTCCACTAAACTTAAATGTATAATGACTACTTTATTTCACGGTTTTGGATAAAACGCTTCGGGCGTGCGACGAAGTACATAAATTTCAATAGATCCATTCTTCTAGTTTAGAAGGTTGTGGAATTTAATTTCGCGCTTTAATACTTCCGCCATTGTTCGTATTTACCGTAATAGTTTTCGATTTACAAGTTATTCCTTGAATATGTAGGTCACTAAAGACATTAATTCGCAATTTTACTCATTTGTTTTAGTATGTACAGGATGGTTCAAATTCGTGGCTCACCTTTGGGTTCGTCATAACGGTGAAAGATAGTGTGACTAAAAAACGCGTTTGAAAATTTTGAAAAATCTGCTACATATAGCCGCCACAGGCTACTACTTTCTTATTTTTTAAGTGTGGCATAATAGGTTTTTAAAAAATGAGATAAAGGTCAAGAAAAGAAAAATAATGACGTGTCACACTATATATTTTTACATAAATTTGAAAGGAAAAATTCAAAATCAAATGTTTCACATCCCAATGATGACCTACAAATTTAAACTATGTATAAGCTCTATATATCTATCTCTATATAAGCTCTGTTAAGGTATGCGCACGACTTTTCTCCGAAAGTAATAATTTACAGGTAGTTAACTTAGCCTTGTCTCACTTTGAGGTGCCAATTCTCTTAAAACACCCCACTGTAATTTACAGGTGGTTGACTTCACTTTACTTGCGTCTAAACTCGAACACCAATAAAAAACGCACTGCGCTAATTTACAGGTGATCTACTTCGTTGCGTTTCCTGCTTCACGCTAATTGTTCAAGCGAATTCGAAAGGCACCGAAATCAAAAAGTCCACCCTACGATAAATTACAGGGGGTGGACTTAACTGCGCTGACGGATCGACGCGAAACTCGCACAAGATGAAACCACCCCACAGTAACTTACAGGTGACCGACTTAACTGCGCTGACGGTTCCTTCAGAACGACTAGCTTCCCACAATCTTTTTAGCGCATGTTTGCAAATTTATTATTATTTCCCTGACAGGAATCTACTAAAATGAAACTTTTAACAACCGGAAACTTACTGCAAACCTACAGTAATAATTAAATATTGTCCTTCCCCGTTACTTCCACGCCTTCACCAACTTTCCTTCCAAATTTAGTGTCGAATTTCTTTCTTCTGGGGTCCTAAACTCAAAAGAACGTTTCAAAGATTTAAAGGTCGTGGTTAAAACTATTTATCTAATGCAAACTGCACTGCGCTATAGATACATGGAAGGCCAACCCGAAAACAAATTTCTGTAGTAGATGTGTATCTGTAGAATATAAAGATCAGAGCATTACGGCCAAATGGATGGCAAAAATATGGTTTTTTAAAGCCTCGTCTCCAAAACGGTGCATTTAAATCCATTGCGAATTGCGTTTACAAGTGAAACTAACATTTTCGTTTTCCTGCATCATTGGATCCGCATGATGGCGTTTAAATACATTTTACCACGAATGCGTTGTGGTCCAGGGTACCGAACGTTCATTGCGTTTATATTTGAAGTGGTTGGTTACGACCAAAATTGTGCTGTGGTTAGTGCACCACCAGCGCATGCGCAATTCTGCCCGAAAGCTCTTCCTTTTATGTCTAGGAATATGTTCACCAAATTTACTTCCAATCGGTTCAGCCGTTCAGCCGGAAATGACAGACAAACCGACAGATACACCGACCGACATCAATGAAATACCTCCCTTATTAATAAGTGGGTGCTAACAAATTTCAAATTTGTGCGTTTAAAGACGGTTAGTTAGTGCTTTTGCTACTGTATAAGGGTAAAATTGACATTGCCATATTGCAGAACATTGCTAAATTATTTCAGTGAGTAAACTAAATTTCCATTGCCCAATTAGGAAAAATCTAAAGCTCATTTTGTTCCTGATTCAATTTTATGAGCCATCTTTAGAGGTTCACTTTACCTAATCAAATTGGCCCAGCATACAAAAGGTCCAGCTGTCCACTATCCAATTTTCCAAATTGCTGCTACCTTTCAAAAGGGAAAATGGACTGTAATCTGGGGATCATTTCGATAAATGTAAGTTATTTGAAATTCTTGCATCGGGTAAAAACAGGCGAAGATTTTGTATACAAAATTTATGCTCAAAGTAAATTTAATATTCCTAAAGAGATCGACCCACGGAATGTGATTTTCTAAAAATAATAGGCGAACCCAAAAAAATGATTTTGATGATGTTTTCTCATTAATCGTGAAGATTGATACCATTCTTTTGTGGGAGTTAAATTTTAGTTAACATTCCTTTGAATAGGAGAATGTACCAGGTGTTGGATTAATTTAATTAATTAAGCTACCTGTGGATTTAATGATTTTATTACAAAACATTCTGAACGAATTCCGGAAGTTTTGAGAACTACTGAATAAGGTCATTTCCTTTAAGCGGGTTTTATTACCCTAGCTCTCATTTAATTGGTAGATCAGAAAGGAAGACACGAATGGATGATTAAAGACGCTCGTTGTCGTTAATAAGAAGCCATTTTGTAGGCGTTATTTTGTACAGGAGTCGACCGTTTTGGAGATATAGCAATTTATGCTCAATTTAACATTCCTGAAGAGATCGGCCCACGGAAGTTTATTCCGTGAACAAATTTGTATGTTTTTTACGAGTGATAAGCGCACCCAAACAAAAGATTTTGGTGATTCTTTCTCATTAGTTGTAAAATGGAACTTTGAGCTCATGGATACCATTCTTTAAATTTTGCAGTACAAGTTATACAAAAAAGGAGACCTGTATCAAATCGACAGAGAAATGAACATATCTGTAAACTTTGTCCAGAAACGATTAGAGGACTGCCATAAATGTTTGGGCTAAAAAGCTGCAGCAATGGTTACTATAAAATAAAATGACAAATTACGGATGAGGAAAAATTGAAGTACGAGGCCCCTTTGGGGTCGAGTACTTTAATTTATGAGTCAACTAGTGTCATTTTACTGAGGTGTTTTCTAAGTATTACATTTTTCCCGAAATCGTTTCTTTAATATAACATTTTTAATCATATAAAACTTGTGTATCAGTGTTGACAGAAGATAGCAGGTAGTACTGTGTGCAATGGCGTACTCCACTACCCACAAACCACCTGGCCAGCTAGCTCAAATCAAATTAAAATTGAAATACAATTATTTATATATATCTTCCTGGTATCCGGCATCTGCTATAAAGAAGAATCCTAATACCGATTCAAAACGTCTCAATTTAAGAGACTCGGTGGCCTCGATAGATTGTATTGACACCTGAAATAAATCTTGGGGGCACGAATGAAAACTCTATCTGGGTCGCACAAAGGATTCGAATAAATACACGATTAATTTATTGACAACGACAAAAATTTATTACGAAAAGGAAATCCCTGAAAAAAAAATGAAAAGCTTACAAAGCTTGTTTGAACATAATACCCCGCACGCATGCGGTCGATCAATAAAATTTAAACAATCTTTTTAACTTCTAACGAAAGATATGCCTTTTAGAAAGGTTTTACTAAGCAGACAGCAGAAATACACGAACTAAATTTTTCTGAATACGGACAAACCGCTTCAAAAAACTTTCCAGGAACCCTTACTCCTTCACTTGACGATAACTTAAATCTCCTATTAACAGTGAGTTCTGGGCACTTTATTTCGACGAACCGTGTCTTCAACAAAACAAATGAGGCCAACTGCCCTTAAATTTAGCGTAAGCAATATACACGCTCCACAACCATTGCGACACTTGCAGCAGCCTTTAACAAAACACCACTTCCTTCTTCAGAATTTTTCAAATCAACCGCCAATCACAATCAGATGGATAATCACAGCTTTGAAAGAACGCATCTCCACTTACGCCGAAATAACGCGTAGTGAAAAGAACAGCGTTAATTAACTTTCGTCAGATAAAGCTCCTTATCGCAAACTACCAGATGTCCCTAAATTTTATCACTCAATTTCATATTTTACAATTAAATACACAAATCCAAACAAACAATTTACAAAAGCGATATAGTTTAAACAACAATTACGCAATTACAAACAATTCCAAAAGGAAAATCAACAATGAAACACAAATTCAAATACAATAAACCAAATCTGGGCTTATTTCGTAAATAATCCACCCAATTTACACCTAATAAATTGAAATATTGTCATTTACAGGGTATCCGTCATTATTTTTGGCGTCAAACTGAAATACGTCGAAATCCCTGACATAAAGTAGGCATGAAAGTGTAAAAACAAAGATCCCTAAAAAGGTTTCGATAAAAATTGTGTCTTGTTTTATTTTTCAGCAAATAAATTCCCAATATCAGGCGAGTAACATAGCAAACCCGTGCCTCAAAAATGGATCAAATAGTGACTTGTCTCAGATCTACAGAGAAACGGATTTTTCTTATAGTTTGTTTACTTGTACGGTCAGTTTTCAATTGTCAATGAGACTTTTGTTTCCATCATGGTAAAACATGAGAAACCGGCAAGGGCGATGAGTGACCAACAATCAAACCATTGCATTGACAATGTAAATTAAAGGTTTAGTTAACAGTGTAGATTATTTTAGCAGGCAACGGATTCGACAGTTATGACTCAGTAAGTATGTAATGCGCGGGGAATGAGACATTAGAACACTCCCTCTCTGCCAACTATAGGGGTAAAATCATTGCGATTTATAAAAAACAATTAGCGTTAGACTTTGGTGTATAGCAAGCGGGTTGGTCCTATAGTTAAGGGCTAAGTGAATCATAAAAGGTAGTACAAGAAAAGGAGTTTAGTGCCAAAATTCTTCGCAGCGTGGAAATAAATTTACTAAGAAGACGTACTTCAGCTTCATTGTCGACAGCGTAAAAACTCCCATTGGTAAATGGAAAATAAAATAATCCCGCCGTTTGTTTTGCAAGCGTTATTCCGCGGGACCGCCTTTGAGAGAATTTCTACTCGGAAGATGTCCAGCGAAGGAAAGCAGTGTAGACATCCCAGGGTCCAGAACCACTACGTGAAGTCTTCCAAACAGCAGAGCTGTGGAAATTAGAGACGAGGTGGTAAAAGCTCCATCCGCCTGAGGTCAGCGACTTGCTGCGATTGCAACATTTAAAAGGTACTATTGCTTCATTTAATTCCTCGGGTTAGAATTACCGAATCGCTTTTAGGGTGGCTACTCACCGTCATTGATTTTGGATATACCATAAGCCCATAAGCCCAAATCATTACACCACATTCATAGTTTTCCGTTAAAAGGTTTATTTTGGAACCACTCAATAAAGTAAATGGCGTCAAAACATTGGGTAAGACGCCATTAATCGTTGCCCTTTAGGAAGAAAAATGGGTCATCGTGTCATTTTCAAGTACCAACACACATAGTTGTACTTATCTTATCATTTATCAGTAAACGCTTCTTGTATTGTGTGTTTGTGCATTTGACATTGCAGAAGTCAAGCTCGTGTCGATAAAATGGTCGTCGCCAAGGAAGATGGCGCAAAAATCGTGGATGATCTTAATCCCGGTACGCTTGAACAAAGTAGACTACTGCTAACACTGTCCCACATAGGTTTCCGGTATGGTGCCAGACATACGCAGGGAATTATGCTCTTTGTTCTACTAATGATAGCGTACGGAATGCGTGCGAATCTATCGGTGGGAATCGTAGCCATGACCAATCCAGAAACCAACCCTAATAAGGACATACCTGTAAGTCTACAGTCTCCTCCACTTAAACCACCCCGATTTTGCAGACCTACACGTGGAATGACAAGAGCGTGATTCTGTCGTCGTTCTTTTGGGGGTACGTCATACCGCAAATAGGCGCGGGTCAATTGGCAAAATACTACGGACCGAAGTGGTTTCTAGTGGGCGCAATGGGCGTGAGCTCGCTGTTCACGCTCCTAATTCCGGTCATGGCAAGTGTGGGCGGTTGGGCTCTGATGCTTTGTCGAATCATTCAGGGGTTTACTCAAGGTTTCTTTTATCCGTCGTGCCATAATTTGCTGTCGAAATGGGTGCCTCCGAGTGAGCGCGCCCGTTTGGGCACATTCGTCTACGCCGGCGGTCCCTTCGGAACAGTCGTATCTCTGACGTTCACAGGGTGGATTTCTGGCACAACAGTCGGGTGGCCGTACGCCTTTTACACGTACGGCACGGGGGGCCTGTTGTGGGTTGTCGTGTGGATGGTACTCGGACGTAACAGCCCAAGTCAGCACACCAAGATTGATCCCAAAGAAAAAGCGTACATCGAAGCCGCCTTGGGACACGCTGAACAAAAGGAGCTTCCTTCAACACCTTGGAGATCAATTGCGACGTCTCTACCGCTTTGGGCGATACTAATCGCGCATAGTGGACAAAACTGGGGTTTCACCACGTTGCTCACTAACATCCCCACCTTCCTCCAGAGCGTGCTCCACTTTGACATAAGATCAGTGAGTCCTGTCCACTTTTAATCTCAAAAAAATTGCACTCGATTTTATAGAACGGCCTACTCTCCGCAGGGCCTTACCTACTCTTCTGGATTTTAAGCTTCGCCTTCAGCGCAATCACCGATTACTCCATAACCAGGGGAATCTTCACCACGGGTACAACAAGGAAGATCGCCAACAGTATCGGTGGGTACCACTCCGCGGATAACTCATGCGTAACCCAATTTTAGGTTCTTTAGTCCCAGCCGCCTCCCTCGTCGTTCTGGGCGCGATCGGCGATACGGACGCCGACATCAAAGACGCGGCGATCGTCCTGCTCTTCATCGCCGTAGGCGTCAACTCGTTCACGTACTGCGGCTACAACGTCAACCACATGGACATATCGCCGAATCACGCCGGTACCCTGATGGGCATCACGAACGGACTCTCGAACATCACCTCGATAATCGCGCCCTTAATTTTGGAATTCATCGTAACCGACGAGGCGAGTACGAAACAGTGGGCCGTAGTCTTCTACATATCCGCCGCAGTTTACGTGATAGGCAATACGTTCTTTGTCATTTTTGCATCGGGGGAGAAACAGAAGTGGAACAGCAACGAGGAGGAGGAAGCGAGGGTTACAGTTACAGTTGAAGAAGCGCGACCTTGAAAGAGTAATTTAGTTCATATGTCATAGTCGAGATATAATACAATAATTGCGAAATATAAAGTTTTATGGAACGTTTTATATTCTTAAACTATAGGTACAAAGCCTTTGTGCTAGTACCTCATAAAAATCTTAGGGAGAGGTTATGGTTGTTATGTGTAAATTGTATTTTGCCAGTAAAAACCACTACTCAAAACAGGGTAACAGTGGTGGGAGTGGCGACAAGTGAAAGAAGTGGGGACAAAGACGGTTTATGGATACCGGAGGAATCTGGAGACATTGTGTCGAGGGATGTGATGTTCAAGACGCAAAACTGTATATTTTAGTAAGCATAGGCAAATGTACACATATAGCGCGTCATAGTGAACTTGAACAAAGATATGTCTGGTGAAAAACGTATTGCGGCAAGCGAGTGGCGTTCAAAAAATAAGGCCTGCTTCTACAGGGCGAGAAGAGGTGGGAGAGGAGTTCGCGAGCCGAAACGTACTATTTAGGTGCGTTGAAATTAGATTCGAAGAAGAATTTGAGAGCGTGCCCTTCTTATTGATTTAGATACGCAGATTCCAAACAAAACATCTCGTATTTTTTCGATTGGACCTCTCAATCAAAAGTTATGGACTAGAAACCAATTTCGAAACAAAATTCAAAGGGCTGTAACTTTTGATCTAGTAGCCCAATCTTGGAACTGATTGAAATTATCGATTCTACAGGCCACATTCTATAAGAAAATGTTTTTTCCCGGTCGATCCGAGACAATTTTTTTTCAAGTCAAAAAAAAGGCAGTGTTTAGCCTTCCTTTTTTACCAAAAATCAACTGCACCAAAATTTCTCGGGAAAACACTTTTTCTTATTAATTTTGGTGCGTAGAATTCAAAACGATTCGTACTTTTTCGATTAGACTTCTCAAAAAAAAGTTATAGACTAGAAACCAATTTCGAAACAAAATTCAAAGGGCTGTAACTTGTGAACTAGTAGCCCAATCTTGGAACTGATTGAAATTATCGATTCTACAGGCCACATTCTATAAGAAAATGTTTTTTCCCGGTCGATCCGAGACAATTTTTTTTTCAAGTCAAAAAAAAGGCAGTGTTTAGCCTTCCTTTTTTACCAAAAATCAACTGCACCAAAATTTCTCGGGAAAACACTTTTTCTTATTAATTTTGGTGCGTAGAATTCAAAACGATTAGTACTTTTTCGATTAGACTTCTCAAAAAAAAGTTATAGACTAGAAACCAATTTCGAAACAAAATTCAAAGGGCTGTAACTTGTGAACTAGTAGCCCAATCTTGGAACTGATTGAAATTATCGATTCTACAGGCCACATTCTATAAGAAAATGTTTTTTCCCGGTCGATCCGAGACAATTTTTTTTCAAGTCAAAAAAAAGGCAGTGTTTAGCCTTCCTTTTTTACCAAAAATCAACTGCACCAAAATTTCTCGGGAAAACACTTTTTCTTATTAATTTTGGTGCGTAGAATTCAAAACGATTAGTACTTTTTCGATTAGACTTCTCAAAAAAAAGTTATAGACTAGAAACCAATTTCGAAACAAAATTCAAAGGGCTGTAACTTGTGAACTAGTAGCCCAATCTTGGAACTGATTGAAATTATCGATTCTACAGGCCACATTCTATAAGAAAATGTTTTTTCCCGGTCGATCCGAGACAATTTTTTTTTCAAGTCAAAAAAAAGGCAGTGTTTAGCCTTCCTTTTTTACCAAAAATCAACTGCACCAAAATTTCTCGGGAAAACACTTTTTCTTATTAATTTTGGTGCGTAGAATTCAAAACGATTAGTACTTTTTCGATTAGACTTCTCAATCAAAAGTTATAGACTAGAAACCAATTTCGAAACAAAATTCAAAGGGCTGTAACTTTTGATCTAGTAGCCCAATCTTGGAACTGTTTGAAATTATGGATTCTACAGGCCACATTCTATAAGAAAATGTTTTTTCCGGGTCGATCTGAGACAATTTTTTTTTCGGGGCTCAAAAAAAGGCAGTGTATAACCTTCCTTTTTTACCAAAAATCGACTACACCAAAATTTCTCGGGAAAACACTTTTTCTTATTAATTTGGTTGCGTAGAATCCAAATCAATTCGTACTTTTTCGATCAGACTTCTCAATCAAAAGTTATAGACTAGAAACCAATTTCGAAGAAAATTCAAAGGGCTGTAACTTTTGATCTAGTAGCCCAATCTTGGAACTGTTTGAAATTATGGATTCTACAGGCCACATTCTATAAGAAAAATTTTTTCCAGGGCGATCTGAGACAATTTTTTTTTTTTCGGGGCAAAAAAAAAGGCAGTGTATAACCTTCCTTTTTTCCAAAAATCGACTGCACCAAAATTTCTCGGAAAAACACTTTTTCGTATTAATTTTGGTGCGTAGAATCCAAAACAATGCGTACTTTTTCGATCAGACTTCTCAATCAAAAGTTATAGACTAGAAACCAATTTCGAAAGAAAATTCAAAGGGCTGTAGCTTTTGAACTAGTAGCCCAATCTTGGAACTGTTTGAAATTATGGATTCTACAGGCCACATTCTATAAGAAAATTTTTTTTCCGGGTCGATCTGCGACAATTTTTTCTTCGGGGCCCAAAAAAAAGCAGTGTATAACCTTCCTTTTTTTCCAAAAATCGACTGCACCAACATTTCTCGGGAAAACACTTTTTCTTATTAATTTTGGTGCGTAGAATCCAAAACAATTCGTACTTTTTCGATCAGACTTCTCAATCAAAAGTTATAGACTAGAAACCAATTTCGAAAGAAATTTCAAAGGGCTGTAACTTTTGAACTAGTAGCCCAATCTTGGAACTGTTTGAAATTATGGATTCTACAGGCCACATTCTATAAGAAATTTTTTTTCCGGGTCGATCTAGACAATTTTTTTTGGGGCCCAAAAAAGGCAGTGTATTACCTTCCTTTTTTACCAAAAATCGACTGCACCAAAAAATTTCTCGGGAAAACACTTTTTCTTTTAATTTGGTGGCGTAGAATCCAAATCAATTCGTACTTTTTCGATCTGACTTCTCAATCAAAAGTTATAAGACTAGAAACCAATTTCGAAAGAAAATTCAAAGGACTGTAACTTTTGAACTAGTAGCCCAATCTTGGAACTGTTTGAAATTATGGATTCTACAGGCCACATTCTATCAGAAATTTTTTTTTCCGGATCGATCTGAGAATTTTTTCTTCGAGGCTCAAAAAAAGCAGTGTATAACCTTCCTTTTTTACCAAAAATCGACTGCACCAAAATTTCTCGGGAAAACACTTTTTCTTATTAATTTTGGTGCGTAGAATCCAATACAATTCGTACTTTTTCGATCAGACTTCTCAATCAAAAGTTATAGACTAGAAACCAATTTGAAAAAAAATTCAAAGGGCTATAACTTTTGAACTAGTAGCCCAATCTTGGAACTGTTTGAAATTAGGGATTCTACAGGCCATTTGTCGTAGATTGGCAGAACAACGGGGATATAGTAAACTGGCCCAATTGAAAGAAGATTACATGTCTCTCCTACTACGCACCGGGCAAAACGAGAAGGCTGGCCAAGTGTTCGAGAAACAAGGCAACTATGAGAAGGCGATGACTCTCTATCTCAAATCGAACTGCTTCGTGCGCGCCTCTTCTCTCCTGATCCAGCACAAAGAATTACTAAATGACAGCGGTCTGGTAGCCAACGTGCTCAAGATCCTTCTCAAGCACGAACTCTACGAGAGCTGCGCCGAAATTTACGAGAAACTCCAAAAATCGTCCCTGGCAATGGAGTGCTACCAAAAAGGTTAGTTTGCACGGTTACGGCAAATTCCTAATTGTAAAATCAGGAAAGGTGTGGAGCAAGGCGATCGCTTTGGCTCGCAGCGTGGAGCCCGAGAAGGTTGTACAACTGGAAGAGGAGTGGGGCGACCATCTGTACGAAAACAAGCAAATGGACGCCGCCATCAACCATTACATCGAGGCGGGTCGCACGCGTAAAGCTCTAGACGCCGCTATCGGCGCGCGCCAGTGGAAGAAGGCCGTGCACATCGTGCAAGTCCTGGACGAGTCCGAGTCAACGGAGAAGTACTACCAGACGATCGGCAATCATTTCGCAAGCGCCCGGGTAATAACCCCTCTTCCGCCGCAGTCCTCACTTTCACTATTCTAGGACTACTCCACCGCCGAAAAGATGTACGTAAACGCCGGTTTGTACAAGGAGGCCGCCGAGATGTACAACGAGGCGGGGCAGTGGGAGAAGGCCTACAGTTTAGCGTCGCGGTTTTTGGATCGGAGCGAGGTGTCGGAGATGTATCTGAAGCAGGCCGAGCAGCTTGAAAATGCCGGGAAGTATCGCGACGCCGAGAAGCTTTACTTATCGGTTGACGCGCCCGATTTGGCCATCGCCATGTATAAGCGGGCGGATCAGTACGACAACATGGTAAAGTCGCACCATGGTGCGACTGTATCTAAACTTTTTGTTCGTGATTAGGTCCGGCTCGTGGAGAAATTCCACCCCGACCTGCTTCAAACCACCCATTTGCATTTGGGGCAGCAGTTGGAGACGCAAGGAAAGCACCGGGCAGCCGAGGTGCACTATTTGGCGGCGGGTGATTGGAAATCGGCAATGAACATGTATAGGGGCTTGTCAATGTGGGAGGAGGCATATCGCGTTGCCAAGCAGAGTGGAGGCGCTGCGGCGGCGAACCAAGTCGCATTCCTCTGGGCGCGCACACTTTCCATCGAGTCCGCCATTAAGTTGTTGAACAAGTTCGGCCTGTTGGAAAGCTGCGTGGATTACGCGTGCGAAACCTACCAGTTTGATTTTGCGTTTCAATTGTGTAAAAGTTTAACGTCTAAGGTAAGCGCAAACATAATACCACACTAGATAGACAGCGTAAATGGACAAGTTGTTAACCGCTTATTTAGTTCCGTAAAGAAGATACAGGGGGCGTTTGCCATGAAGCCCATACTCGGAATCCGTAATCGTACGTATTCGTCACACGAGACGCGTTACATTATCTTTTCCATGACCTACTCAACATTCCTTTAATTATTTTCATAAATTAAATTACAATTAAAAGAAAGGGAAAAAGTGTATAGGCGAATTTACGATACGTTGCGCTCTATTCTCGGAGATAGAATCAGTGAATTTATAAATATAGAATGGTAAAACGTAATTACGTTAATTCAACAAATACAATGCATGTTTTTTTCTGGTACGTTGTAAGTATTGTAAACAAGTAGCCCTTATACGGCTCCGTTAACTTAGCACCACCATTTCAAATTTTTGACTAAAGACAGATTGCGCTAGAATCTCTATGGCTAGCGCCAGCTAGCGCCACTTTGAGTTCAGCTAGCGCCATTATAGATTTTGCAGAAAAGCCCTTGACTTTCGGGGGGTGCTATGTTAACGCCAGCACCACCATTGCGTCCGATCATTTCCAAAAGCAAACGCTGTGTTCGTCAGACCTAGCGCCAGCTAGCGCCACAAATTTTAGAGCTAGCGCCACCCCCCAATAGTGAGGGGAGCAATTTTTCCTAGCACCACCATTTTGTCTTTTCATGTAAAATTTTGACGTTTTGTGTTCTGCTGACCTAGCGCCAGCTAGCGCCACTTTGAGTTCAGCTAGCGCCATTATAGATTTTGCAAAAAAGCCCTTGACTTTCGGGGGGTGCTATGTTAACGCTAGCACCATCATTGCGTCCGATCACTTCCAAAAACAAGCGCTGTGTTCGTCAGACCTAGCGCCAGCTAGCGCCACAAATTTTAGAGCTAGCGCCACCCCCCAATAGTGCAGGGGGCAATTTTTCCTAGCACCACCATTTTGTTTTTTCGGGTAAAATTTTGACGTTTTGTGTTTTGCTGACCTAGCGCCAGCTAGCGCCACAAATTTTAGAGCTGTCATCACCCTCCAATAGTGTGGGGGGAGGGGGCACCACCATTTTGTCTTTTCGGGTAAAAATTTGATGTTTTCTGTTCTGTAGACCTAGCGCTCAAGTTAACCAAGCGCAATTATAAATTTTGCAAAAAGCCTTTAACTTTTGGGGGTGGTTTATTAGCCTCTAACACCACTATTGTGTTCGATGACTACCAAAAGCAAGCGCTGCGCTGTGTTCTTTAAACGTAGCGCAGAGCTGGCGCCCAATCCCCAACATTGTGGGGGTCCTTTTTTTTTATAATACCACCGGTTTGTTTTTTCGTGTACAATTTTGCTATTTTGTGTTTTGCTGACATCTCCCAGATAGAGTCAAAATCTGAAGAGTAGGCGCCACACCCAAGTAGTCTGGGACAGTTTTTCCTAGCTTTATGACTTGGCACCACTGAAATATTTTGGATTAATTTTCTAGTAAAACGAGTGGTGTGGTAGCTGAAGTTCAATTATTATAGAACAGAACCATATTTTTATACCTTTCGCAGTAGAGACATTGGGACCTTGGTGTAGAGAAGCTCGAAAATTTTGTGGAATACCTGGGAAAACGCATTACCAATATTACTGGGGAACCCCGAGCTACCACTTACTTACGACAAATTTAAGTATTGCCATACAACGTGCAGGTAACGCGGCCATTCAGTGTAATGGGGACCACGATCCCCATGGAAGAAAATTATCATTTATTAACGAGCTCCTAGCGAGTTTATAATTTTGCGGTGTCTGTCCGTCTGTCCGTCCGTTAGCACGATATCTCGATAACGAATGGAGCGATTACGATAAAATTTTGTAGGTGGATTCTTTACGAGATTCTTTATCAAATTTGTAGATCGGAGTTCGTGAACTGGCAATGTAACCCAATAAATAAGGAAGGCCCTTTTGACATCTCCGTGAGTTATGAACCGAATTGCATGAAATTGCGTATAGCTTTAGCCATATAAAACGCAATTCCAAAAATTGAGCCTAATCGATCAACATTCACAATGCTCTTTTCGCATTTCGACCATTTATAAACCGATTTGCAAACTTTTTTATTTATGAAGTATATTTAAATGAAATTTGATACATAACCACTTGGAATAAAAGCAAATATAACGCTAGTTTCAAAATTTGATTTTGCGCATGCGCAGTGCCAACTTTCTTATTTATGGAGGGATTTAAATGAAATCTGACACATAGCCACTTTGAATAAAAGCAAATATAACACTAGTTTCAAAATTTGGTTTTGCGCATGCGCAGTGCCAACTTTCTTATTTATGGAGGCATTCAAATGAAATTTGAAACATAACCACTTGGAATAAAAGTAAATGTTGGAAAATTAGTAGTTGTGATAAGTTTTTCTTAAATATTTAAAAAACTATACTATTTAGCGCGAAATAAAATAAATAATCTACAGTAAATTGCGAACAAAAATGGCCTCATATATAATCTTGTTAAATTGAACCATTCCATAGTTACGGAGGGTGTAACAGTAGAAATTTTTCATCTTTTTTTTTAGATTCTTTTGGAAAAAATATGAGATTATCACTAAGGAAACTATTTTTTTTGTTAAAACCGGTTAAAACAAATTGCGCTTTAGTGACCGGTGGTATGTTACTGATAAGTCCTTGAAGGAACGATAACCTTACCACCTTCTCAAGGGGGGCCATTTTTTCAAGAGACTTCCACTATGAGGGACAGTAATTCCTGGGGAGTTGCAGGATGTGTTGTTATTGCTCTCAGGTGTTCGACAATCTTGCATTCCCACTTCATCGGGTTCTTCTTCTCATGCAGCCACTGCTGCACCTGATGGTAAGTTCTAAATGAATGTTCTACCTGGTAGCTGCTGAAGTGGGGAGAAGCGCAGCCAACTTGAACAGTGAATGTATAGGATGCTTTGAAATAGCTTGCAAGTAACACTGGTAACGAAAACAAGCCAGATCTTCAGTGTTCTTTACTTCAAACATGATTTCATTTTTCCAGAAAATCGAAAAAATACGAAAAATGCCTACTTTTACACCCTCCGTAACTCTGGAATCGTTGACTTGAGCAAGATTATACACAAGACCATTTTTATTCACAATTTAATGTAGAATTATTTTGGATATGGTACTTTTCTCGCCAAACCCCATAGTTTTCTAAATATTTAAGAAAAACACCAAAAACTACTAATTTACCAACTGGTGTAACTTTTTACCAAACAATATGTGGACTGTATAGAACAATTTGCAGTTAATGGGAAACTTTTACTTTTGATGTTTAGGTTAAGCCGTTTTGTCGACTAATTGCACCGTACTATATTATGAATTTTTAATTTTAAAATTTCCATATTAGGTACTGTTTCTTGTGAAATTTTTCTGTTTTGTGCTCTACTCACTAAACATTTCTTTTTGTAAGTCACAGTATTAATTTCCCTACCACAGTATTGCGAGCTAAATCGTTTAGAACACAGCGCAGTGCAAAATTTGAAAATTTCAACGAACGTACCTACTCATAACCTATATAAAGTCGTTAAATCAATCAGCATATTTGTTAATTCTGCTAAAAAACAAGAAAGCAGTTCTTATATACTTATGTGTATTTTCCGTAGCTAACTAATTTTTATGGTGCAAATAAGGCATATGTATTTTATATGATTAATACACTCCATTAATACGGAAAATATGTAGTGGTTGTAAAATTTACTGTCTTTTATTAATCTCCCTAAAATACACTAGACCTTGATCAGGATAATTTTATTTTTAATTCACTCAAATTTTGTTGCCTCCTGGAAAAAACTCTCGATCAAAAGCATAATATTAATAAAATCGCTCCAGCTAAAACTGTCACGATTTTATCACACTTTTGGTTTCGAGTTTTTTCCGTTGCAACAAAACTTTCGTGTAAAAATAAAATTATGCGATTAAAAATCAAGCTCTTGTGTATTTACTCTCGATAAATTATATACCTATGTACGTCACGTCGACTACTATCTAAAGGTGTTTTTTTAACAATAGATTTACCAACATTCACACAATTGACGCGCCTGTAAACCCTTGATGTGACAAATAATTTACAACTCTTGCGCATTCATAAAGGATTTAAGTAAGTTTGTACCTGCATACCTCACCGTCAGTTTACTTCGAAATGAAGGGTTACAATCTTGCTACTTTATATACAAATTTTAGTATTTTTATTGGAACTTTTTACTTTAAACAGAACGATCAATCCAAAAAGTAAAGGATTTCAAATTGAAATAATTTGATTATTATTTCCGACCCTAAGAGGGACAGATTTGCACATTCGGGTTTAAAAAAGGTAAAGAGTTTGACCATCCCAGATGCGGTGTCTGTCCGTTAGCACAATAGTTCGATAACGAATGGACCGATTACGATGAAATGTTGTAGTTGGATTCTTTATCAAATTTGTAGATCAAAGTTCGTGAATTGGTAATGTACCCCAAAAAATAAGTATGGCCCTTTGTATGTAATCTGCGTGAGTTTTGAACCGAATTGCATAAAATTCAATATTCGTATAGCTTAAGCTATATAACACGCAATTCCAAAAATTGAGCCTAATCTATCAACATTCACAGTGCCCTTTTCGCATCGACGTGTAAATAAATATAGAAAACGAGCTCCTGGGTAAGGCTACAGCATGTGCAAAACCAAATTTTTAACTTGGTGTTAGTTTTCCTTTTATTTAAAGTGTATATGTATGAGATTTCATTTAATTGCATCCATAAATAAGAAAATTGGCACCACACATCATGCACAAAACCAAATTTTGAAACTGGCGTTAAATTTGCTTTTATTCCAAGTGGCTATGTATCAATTCTTTTTTATTATACCTGAATCACAATCTCTGTTTTAAACACTCAAATGCGTGCGAAAAAGGGCCTTTAAAACACACGTGCTTTAAAGTTGCTAAGTAACGATACTTCAAGTATGACTTTTAAAACTGTCATCTGGATGAAATAAAAAAATCCTCTTAGGTCGCTTTCTGTAAATGCAGAACATTCCTTTGGCTTTTGTACCTATCCTTTGGTTGAAGCTTTCACAAACGCGCGTAATTTAGGGTATGCTTCCAAATCTGTTCCACTTTTTAATCGCAGCATTGCTTTAGTTTTGAATGAATGCACCAAAATATAGAAGATTTAAATACCTTTGATATTTCCTTCATATATGCCAGCATTAGGGATGCATTTAAGACTGTATTCGTAAGTAACTTCCTATTCGTCCATGGAAACAACTTTTCATATTCTTTATAATAGGCTTTACTGGATTTGGATTTTACACCTACCAACGTTTGTTTAGATTTTACAAGCGATTTAATGGACGATGTATTATCTTTTTCAACGGAAATCGTTTTATTTACAAATTTGATGATGATTATAAGCAAACGTCAAGTGACATTTCCATGGCAATCGTGAAATTTCGAACACCCAGCCCACTTAATTAAACATGTATTCGAGTATAACGTCAATATGACTTCATTGTATTTCCGATTTTTAAATTATACTGCAGGTATAATAAAAAATACTATAAGATACACGTGTATAATTGGTCTTTAAAGCACTTGCAACGTTAAAGGCACTCCGCTTTGCGTCGTGCCCTTAAACTCGTTGCGCGTGCTTTAAAGACTTGATTATACACTTGTATCTTAATATACTATTTAAAGTACGGTCTATATCAAAATTGTATAGTTTCCAATATTATAGACAGATATCATGGCTTGTTCCAAAATGATGTAAATCGTAGGTATGATATAAATCGAAAAATGAGAATTTTCCGACATTTCGGTGTATTGCACATTCTCATCAATATAATTATACAAATAAAAATTATATCTCGTGTTATAACTCTTACACTCATACAAAATAGCTTACACATTAATACAATTCTTTGACAACCCTTTAACACCTTAGGTTTTATTCGAGGTTTTATTATAGGCGTTTGCTTAGATTTTGGAAATTATATTACTTTTTTCCACATTTGTACGAAGCAATCTTGAATGTGGTGTTATAGTATGGAATTCAGCATTTCAAAAATACGAGCAAGAACGTATACGTTGTCTTTTAAAATATCTAGCATTACGCTGTAATGGATACGACCCTGCAAGAGGCTAACCACAAAATCTACTGCTAGAAAGTTAAATTTTTTACCCATAAGTAGCAAACGTAAAAGAATTAAGTGTGTCATTCTTGTATATACGCTCCCAAACGGTGGCAGGTACTATAGGAATCACCCTGTACATTACTATGGAATGAAATTTCGCTATACCTCCAGGTATTTCAAAAATTTTAAATTAACCTATTGCAAAACAAATCTTTTACAAAATTTGCCAATTTATCGAGTGTGTCATAATTATAACTTTATATGCGATACACGTACTAATTAAAAATTCCTTATAAGTATGATCCAATAATTTTTGCTTTTTCTTTTTTTCATTACACTAATATAATTTCTCCTATTTTATAACATAATACCCAACTATTGTATTTTGATTTATTACTTTATTTTGTTTATTGTATGATTATGAACAATTTTCTTTCGCCCCAATTATAACTCTATTATTATAATCAATTTAAGTTTCAATTTTGTTAATTTTTCTATATTTCTGCTCGGCTGTTATTGAACAATATTTGAGGTTGCCCTGTAGACTGGATAGTCTGGATAATAAATATTTTACGATGAAAAGTGGTATGTCCACGAAACAAACAATAAACCAAAACCATCAAGGGAATGGTTATTGCAATCTGCCAAGGAAAAGGATATGGTATACGGCTCCATTAAAATGTTTCGCCTTTTCCCAGGGGAAACAGTTACCAATTGATCTCACAATTGATGTTAAAAAGAAAAATCCTGTAATAAATGTATATAACGAGGTATACAATGTTTATTATAAAATACTTGCTTAATTCATATTATGACACTGTATGTCACCTCATTAAAGTGAATTGCACCTCTAAAGATAAAGCGTCATAGTTCCTTTTCACAACGAGAATCTCTAGCCAAAATTCTCGTTGCTCGCCTATAGCTTATCTTTCTGTGAAACTCTTTGTAATATGTAAATGAATATTCCCTGCTATTCCCTGACATTCTTTCAACAAGATCTTCTCATATACTTTAAAAACACTCAAGAATACTATAACTCGTAATAAGCTCATTTAACAGCAAGGAGATGAATTTTTATGGAAGGAAACAAGCTTTCTTCATAGTTTTTCAATTTTTCATCGGTATCAAACTTCACTGTAAGTCGAAGAATTGAAAAACAAATAAAATGAAACGTGAAAATGAAATTTAGCATTGATTATTGTTTTATTACAATTCAATTTCTTTTACATATGTCTATACCCATCGTAATTGATTGGTCCAACGAACTGTAATACTACCTACTAAAGGTCTAATAAATTCGCAATGTAAATTTGATCACTTTAAATTGAAGCGTACACTTGCCACTATTTTCCGCTTCCACGTTTCTCCGGCAGATTATTGAAGCTTAAACTCTAGTCTTTTTGTTACAACAAGACTATTACGTTGGTGATGTACGTAATGATTGCATGCAATAGCTGTAGCGTAACAGCTGTATTACATGTGGCAGAAAACGTTATTGATCTATAAAATTTTATTTCTTGAAAAATGTTCTCTCTACGGCGCCGTAAATCAATAAGAATGGCGCTGCGGATATTTCCTTAATGTTATAAGTCATTGTACCTAGCACAGGTTTCAGTCTGTCATATTAGAGCAGAATCCATTCTAATTTGGTTCGTGTTCCTAATTAACATTCAACACGTCGTACAACTTTAACTTTGTATGCTTCGGGTTTACAATCAGAAGTGTTTTTGAAATGTGTAACATGTAATAAAGATGCCAAAATTGTGAACACCTGCCGCACTGATTTCGCACCTGCTCCGGAAGCCTAATTATAATTCCTCCCTCTTAATTTTGGCTTATTTTCATTACGGCGCCATGCGGATTAAAAATGCCTTCATTCTTGGGGCTGCACAATGCACTACAGAGCAATATGAATCCAGAGGAATGAGGCATCTACCTGAGAACAGGTTCCAATGTAACAGCAGGTTGAAAAATGCAATTTTTTTCGATTTCTCCTTTGAATGATAGTCTAATTAAATTGATTATATCGATTTCAGGTTCAACGATTCCATTACATACAAACACTGGACGGTTCTAAATTATGAAATGAATCAGTGATTTGACATGGTAATCATACAGCGCTATATAATTATCCTTTTAAACCAAGCTCTAATAACTATTTTTTAACTTTAATAAATTTTGTGAGGAGTAGCGTTTATTCACTTCGTTTGCGAAGTTTAAATTGGTTTTATTATACCACTTAATTATCAAGAACTACTATGTAAATGACCCGCTAAGTTATTTGTATAGGCACCTTCATCTATTCTGCGTTTCAATCGTCAAGAATTTGCGAATAAAAATGTTAAAATGGGCCGTAAAAACTCACTGGACAGCTACCCTTATCAACACATTATGTGATGCGGTGTAATGAGTAGAATCAAAGCTATCTAAATCTTATCAAAGATCAAAGTTAATGACATTAGCCTCTTCCGTAGCAAGTGCAGTGGACCCTCTATTCTTTTTAATGATCCACATCCACAATGACTTGATACACTTACATTGTAAAAAGTATATGGCTGGTCATCCAACTGGCCGCGCCGTATAATTTCTAAACCTACACAATCTTATTCTGCTCTTCTAAAAACCGTCCCAGTCTCCAGGTGCTCATTTCAGACCAAATTCAATAGGTCCATAACTGCCAGGCCACAAATAGGTTTTTAGTGCAGATGTGTATTTCACCATCCACTATTCGTAAGTAACTTTCTTGTACCTACAGCAGATTGCTTGGATGTGGTCAAGGTGAACGTGTTATTTAAGTACCTCTACACCACTGAATGCATCTCGTCGTTTAACAAAAGGTCGTCAATCTCGCCAACTGCTTAACGTTCTTTACGAGTGAGACCAATTTTTCCGATAAGATTTGCATTGTTGTTCCAAAATTGGTACACGTCTAAACTTGATCTTAAATTCTAACGTCTGATGTATATTAAATTTCGGTCGTGCATCGTTGGCCACAATGTCTTCATATAGTGTTTCGTTTCATTGCTTGAAACAAAGCCAGCCGGTGGAACAATAAAAGAATCGTAAACAAACTCTTCATTTGCATTACAACCCGTTACAATTACATAAAAGCGGAATCCTTAAAGTTTCTTTAGTAGAGCAAGGGAAGGTCGTATGGAAATATCTATTGGCATTGACTGCTATATCTTCTACCTACTACACGCAACTAACGCATTTCTTTTTTTTTTAGAATGTGGTGGACAATTACCGGCAACTTCGGAAATATACTACCGATCGATTGGTCAAAGTCGTGCGCTCGAAAACTTCATATGCCTTCACTGAACTTAAATCAAAATGAAGTAAGTGGAAGCTGACTGTTAACATACCATTAAGTAGATGAGTAATTCCGTTTTTTTTAAATTAAATAAACAGTTGGTTTGGTAGTTAAATGCTCTTAATTGAACAAACCGCTGTTGTGGGTGACATCACCGAGTTAATGTAATTTATCATACATACTTTAAGGACAATACTAAATAGGAATGTACCCATTTCAGAATATTTTAACACCTGATGACGATTTGGAGTTAAGCTCGGAGGATGAAGCAGTAGCGAATGATTTAGATATGCACGCTTTAATTCTTGGTGGTTTGCATCAGGATCAAGAACCTCTGAAGACTGCAGACGAGGTCATTCGCGAAATTGACGATATGATGCAGGAAGAAGACGCATCTCTGGAGGTTTCGCCAGACTCAAGAGACACCATTGACACCAATGAAACTTTAGAAAAGGCAAAGGAGGTGTTGAGTTCACCGTTATACGAAGACAGTAGGTCAAAAATAAGCGTTTTAAAACATAATCAGGTCCTTTTGTAGAGCTTCGCGATCTCAGTTTAACCCAACTTAACGAATTGTATATGGAATTAGAAGTTTTAATTAGAGAATTTTCGGAGACGTTAATTACGGAACTGGCATTAAGAGACGAATTAGAATATGAAAAAGAGCTAAAGAACACATTTATTTCATTACTGCTTGCAGTGCAGAATAAACGACGACAATACCACGTTGAGAAGAAACGAAGTTCAAAAGGAAACGCCCTACGTCCTCCAAGTGGATTAGATCCAAAGGTTTGAGAGCAAGTATTATAAGTGAAACCTTTTCTAAAACCCCAATTTTTCAGTATTTAACCACCGTTATTCCATATCACCTAGATAGTGGCCCGCCCGATAACCAAGCCCTCCAAGTTCTTATTAAAAGTAAAAGATTGCAAGAAAGTAACTTAATTAAATAAATAACCTTTGATTTTTAGTTTTAAAGGCGATTAATGAAGATAGTCCTACTGTTCCAACCCTTTTAACAGATTATATATTAAAAGGTAAGTAGATTTAGGTTCAATATTTTAATTTATTTCAACAATTTTACCCCAATAACAAATCCACGCTACGAATTTTGTGAACTAGGTACATAAATTATTCCTAATCGCCCTTTCTGTTTCAGTGATTTGTCCTACATAGGAGAAATTGTTTGGTAACCCTTAGTAAAAGCACAGTATGTTACATGACAAATAAGCTGATGTTTACTCTAGGAAAGAAATTCGAGATACCTTCTGTTTTTTTTTAATTTATGCTAATTTTGTTATTCATTTTTTATATTGTTCCTCATGTATATTTCTTATTTTTTAAAAACGAAGTTGTAAATAGCGTCTGCTTCAGAATCTAGTCTAATTAAATAAGTAAGAGTCGTATGAATGTGATGGAAAAATACTTGCTATATTGCTGCACATATTTTGAAGTTTATTAATGCTGCTGATGTTCACAATATTGCTATGTTACTTTTAAGTGTTTATGTAAAAAAAGTGATATTAGTTTAATTTTTAAATGATATTTATTGCATAGTTAAATCCTTGCCATATTTTTTCAATGTAGCTTTAAATTTCCTAAACAGAAACAATTGTATTTGTAAGAACATCTAAGAAGCATGTCAAGTATAAATGTCTTAATGTTGTTACTACAATTTCTGTTCATGTAGAGTTAATTGATTCCTTAAATAAAGCTCTGGTTCAACACTTTACACCTTTATTTCAACTTTTTGCATTTTCAAGTCTTGGAAATTTGACATGAATTCCTGAGCACCTGATAGACATTTTCCCAGAGTGATTATACATATTAGAGAAATACTCGGCTTTATTTACCAACAAATCCTGAAAATAATGGGTAGGCCTCGTTTGCTTTATCAAAGACTAGTTGTCCAATTCAGGTGTTCGTAGTACCACTGGGCACCCTGTAATTTACCTATTAATTACGAATTGATCATCCAATCTAATGCGAGGGTCCTCAAACTTGAACTGCTGGCGAGATACCTTGTTAGACTGAGATCGATCGACACTGAGAGGCTGCAAGTATGTGTGATGCAGGATGGTTATGTAGGTAGGTAGGGTGTATCGTCGCGCAGGTATAAGTGTTACCGTTTATGTGCGGATAACCGTTAAAGTCCAGATTATCTAGTTAATCTGCAAATTATCTAGTTAAGTCAGTTAAATTGCAAAAAATGCTTTTGCTTCGCAGATTACCGCAGACAACAGCAACTACAAGTACTCGATAATATTGTCACCAATTTTCAAGAACATGTATCATCACATTTTTATTTTACCTATTGATTTTTCTGATCACAACATGCAAATAATATTACAAAAAAAATGTAAAAAGAGTCCAAGATTATTTAGATTAAGGCCTCATATTACTAAAAAAAATATTAATTCACTTACCAACACCTTTCGTATCAAAATTTTTTAATTTCATTATACACGAAACCCCAAAAGTGATAGCAACACTTTTTTGGGGTCTGTGTGCTTCAAAACGTTCAGAAAACGCAATATTGGCATATCGAAAATTTATCACCCAACAATTTTCCGTAAAAATGATTTGATTTAAGCATTTTTTAAATAAAAACTGATTAAGAACTGTAGGTAAAACTTCGTTACAGTACAGGTCTGCTTCTGATACTTTATGCTTTAGAAAAGCTCAAAAAACCTAAGAATTAAGACCGGTATAATAATAATAATATCCCTTTATTTTAAACTCAAACCGCCTTCATAAATATAAAAATAAAAAGAGATTGAAATTAAATGTCATGTTCTAAGCTAAAACTAAAAATTACATTTAACGGAAAAAAAATATACATTACTTGTATTAAATCAACTTAACCCACAAAATTAAATAATTTCTGATAGTCGACGAGAGACAAGATGTGCACGCTAAATGATAACATGTTGCATGCACATCATGCTAATCGTAGACACCCCCCTTAAAATTTATGTTTAAAAAATAAAATAATAATAAAATAATCTTTCTTTAATATATTTTAATTAAAAAATGTATGTCACATCTGTTTAAGTAAGTACCTATAAGCGTTATTGAATATTCAAAATGTATTAGTTAATTTTTAATTAATAATATATTTAATTGTGAACTGTAGCAGTACCTAAGCATTTTAATTTAATTTGTGTGTGAATTGTAAATAAATACCTGCTCATGCAGGATCGATACTGCCATACGTTAAAAGTACCTAAACAATTGCTTTAAAATTTCCCTGGGCGCAAGAGGGTGATCACGAAACGCCTCTCACGCTATATAGTGATAAAGAGATACCTATTTTTCTACTTCCACAATGACGAATTTTTATACCTTATAGTAAATTTTTAGGTTCTTCGACAGGTTTATTCGGTAGTGGTCATACACTGTATAGAAACAAACAAACAGAGCCAGTCGCACTTTAGCAGAAAATTCAAAATAAACATTTGGGACTAAAGTAGTTGATGGAAATGAAGGTGCACTTTCATTGATCGATTAACGCACACTAAAATGTATCGCGAACGGTTGGTTTACCTAATACATGTTTATTGAATAATCGATTAAGCACTTATAGAAACAACAAACATTTTGTTATGAGTAAATACTAATTTTAAGCTTAGCATAGGTATTTATTATTCGATATCGATCTATGGTACTATATTATAAAATGCGTTAGCAGCCTTAGGCGACTTGTAAAATGTAATTGAGCTAATGATGAATGATCGTAACTATAAAGTAAGTTTATGCATGACTAAATAATTATCATTACGCACTCGAATAATGGATCATGAGTAGGTATAAGTACTGCCGGGTATATAGGGTGGCACATCGAAATCTAATGAAGAAACAAAGCTATTAGCTACCTACGTGTAGTGAATTTTCCAAAACATTTGTTTCCTATAACTTATAATGTCTAAAATTGCAATCCTAGGACACTGTTTTCCCTCGCCAAACATGTAGCATGTGATTTATGGTCAGTTTTGATCATTCAGTTTCCAAGTGGAGGCAAACGCGCTCTTTGTCATCGTTATTAGACGATCTAAAACGCACGTTAAACCTATATTTTCTAAGCGCATGGATCACTAGGTTCTCTCATGTTGTTGACAGATTCAACATAAACGACATCTAAATGATGTAGATCTTTTTCTTGTATCTAGCCCGAACATCTTTCTAATGGGTGGATGGAGAAAATTTGGAATAATTTGGAAACAAAACAATCGAATAAAAAACTTAACATTCGTAATAAAGGCGATAATATATGACAATTATGTTTTTTCGATTTTAATAGTCCTTATGGACATTTTATGCCTTCGCATTCCTGTGGTGCTTCAAAACGTGTATTTCCGTCAAAAAAGTGGAGGGTCATTTTTTACCCCAATGCCTTAACAAGAATACAAACATGACATAATTTTTAATTTCTGATCGAATGACAGACAGAAATCAAGAGCGCAAAAGTGCACTTTTTATTTTTTGAAAGTGAAAGTGCACTAATAAAAAACTAAGCGAGAATTAAATTTCTGACTATAAATACTCCTGTCATCACTGACAGATTAACATTAATCAATAATCATAAGTAGGTAGGTATACCTACTATACCTATGATATATACAAATTGAAATTTTTACGATTTCGGGTAAAAACACTAGTGCTTTTAAAGATTGCTAAGTAGGTATGTTACTTCAAATATTACTTAAGACACTGCCATCTGTCCTTGGCTTGCACCTATCCTATCCTTTGTTTGAAGTTTTCACAAACGAGGTGGTTGTGCCGGTTGTTCGTGTGGTTTTTATTCAATGCTAAGGGACAAATGTTTGATTTAGGTAACACTTGTCTGTAGTATACCTACTATGTTGTGTTTGCTATAACCTTTTTCTGAAATAGGCAAAGTATGAAACTCTCAAAATGTATTAATTAATTAATATATACCTAGGTATCTATTACCTATACCTGAAATTCTCGGGAATTGAAGGCTTGTTTGAGCTTCCCGCATGAATTGGACATTTTTTCAGGCGGATTCTAGATCTTAAGGTCTCTGGAAAGAGCATAAGTGAACCTTCTTCGAGTATTTTTTTAACAACTTTAGTAAGTACATACTTCTCGGATACTTTTTCGACAATTCAGGAAAACAGAAGGTTATCTGAGGTTTTTTCATAACCCTCATAAGCAGTCTAATCTCGCAGGCATTTACTATGGCGTATTGAGAAGCTTTTTTAGTGCCATTCAATTCCAAAGATATTTATAGCCACAACTCATACTATAGTTTTAGTTTTACATGCGCCTTCATATAGCGTTTAGGCTTTTTTTATACGCATTGAATACGCTACTTAGAAAGTAAAAATTTATTAAAAAGGGAATAAACACATGATTTTATAAAAATGAACGCTATACGTCTTTCGCTATAGAAACCGTTGCACGTCATTGATTTGTGTATCAATTTCAGACATATGCTGCAACACTGCAACATGTACAAAAAAAAACAAGTGTGCGAAATCTATAGAAAACTTGTCTGAAATTGATTCATAAATCAATGACGTGCATCGGTTTTTATAGCGAAAGACGTATATCTACAATACGTGATTTATTATTAATTCATTGCCGTAATTCAGAAAAAAAGCAACTCTATCGGATAGCACGTCGAGGAAACCTCGCATGAAAGACTCTATATAGGTACCTATTCTAAAACGTATCTATACAGGGTGTCGCCCGGGAACAGTGACAAATTTTTCCTACTACTAAAAAAATCATAATTCGATAACGAAGCATTTGTGGACCCATATTCATAGGAGATTTTTGACTCGAATTCACATAATAAAAATGCAGCAAATTTTTGTCCCTTTCCTCGCTTAATTCCCTGTATGCGTATAGGTATGTACCTACAGCACTTATAATCTCATTTAGGTACGACATAGAATGTAGATGAAGGTTATTTTTAATATGCAAAAATTGTTCGTCACAATTCCGTATGTATTTTGGATTGAAAATGTACATGCCTCATATTTTTTGTTCCTAAACATCCATTAGGCATTACATCCAACTGGTAGGTACCTATTTTTATAGAATATCTAATATACCTACTTGACATAAAATATTTATACCTATTTCATTGAATTTCTATAAATTCAATGCCTACATCTAATATGAATGTACCAAAGATATCGAATGCTATTTGGGTTACCTACCTGCAAAGTGCAAATGTCTTGCAGTTTAAAACCCGTTTAATTAGTCGGTTTACAAATTTATCATCAGCGGCGTTAAACCAAATTTCCATTAGATCATAAGTAGGTATCAAAATTATAAAAATACCCATAGCCATGGAAGTGCCTAAATTATGAGACTAGTAAATAAATTGCAAATCATTTGTATTCCACATTTTATTTAAATTCCTATTTCCCATTTTGCATCTTAGGTAAATAAATACTTTCCGTCAGTGCATGCGGCGTTTTTAAACGTATCTTACCCACACCCCATCCCCATTCAAGGTTAGTAGAGAGAGTAGGTTGCCTCGTAACTTTAGAGAGACGCGTCATCGAGAATCCGGAAGTCCCATTTGATTGGTGTTTTAATTTTCGTTGACTTTGACAGTTATATTTGAACTGTGTATAAGTACTTAATTGTCAGACAGTGCTGAAGACTCTATTACGAATAAGTACTTATTATAATTCGATTGAATACTTACTGTCATTATAATAAGGTATTAGATGCTGATGGATGGAAATCTTTGTAGCGTTGTTATATGCAATAGCAGCCCCAACAAATCGAAAGCAAATGGATCGCAGATTCAGTTTTTTGCTTTTCCAAAAGATAATTCCTGTATTACAAACAGAATGGGTTATAAAGTGCAATGCAAAGGGGAACCTGAACCTCGTATGCAATAGACTGTGCAGTCTGCATTTCCCGACCGAAAACTAATTTTAAAGTGAAGAATAGTTATTGTACTAAATCACCAAATCACGCCGGTGTAAATTTCTTTAATAAGCTTCCAAGTGATCTGAAAACTATTCAAAATAAATGTATATTTAAGCGGAAGTTAAAAACGTTGCTATTCATTATTCAATTCCTCATTCTTACTGCACATCCTTAGTCTTAGTGTTCTTGTGTTTAATATTGTTCCATAGTGATCATTAATGGCTTTAATTTTTATGTATATTTTAATAGTTCTAGTGTTTGTTTCATGTTATGTTTATATATACACATACCTACACACACATTGTAAGTACCAAGTAATTGTAAGACGAGTGCAAAAATTACTATGTAATTACTTAGCACAATAAATAAAATGAAATGAAATGAAATATGAAGATGAAATGTAAGCTATTTTGAATATAGTGCGTTTAATATTTCGCTAGCATGTTTCTTTCTATATGCAATGCAGGAACTTTTCAGCACATCCATGTAACGTACCATTTCGATCCATTTTGCATTTTCTGAATTGTTCTGTTGTTGCGTCAATAATTAAATTTTATGATGTGGACAAAATGGGATTCTGGGTGACGTCATTCGCGTATTTTAATACTAAACGTTTATTGGCTGAAAGTTACGAGGCAACCTACTTCTCCCCATTAGCATTTGCCATATTGAATATCCGACTTGCCAATGGTCAACGCCATAGCAGGCCATGTACCAATCGGCGGATGTCTAGCCACAACCCCCAGTCTATTGTGCTGCCATCTTGCGATTTTCTAGGCGTAGTAGTTAAATTGAAGTGTTCCGCCTCCATGAATGTTTTACATAAATTTCAGTTTATCTCAAAAACTGCTAATATAAATCCATCAAGATTTAAATGAAATAGATGATTTCGTTGTATTTTCTCAAGGAGTTGAATATAAAAAATGCTGAGAACGTCTTAAGGTAATTTACCAAATATCCATAAACTAAAACAATTCTGGGACACTTGGAGGGTTTTCGTTTTTGATAGATTTTAGGATTATACTTCCCACTGACTGCAAATGTAGTAATTCACTATTAAATTCGGGTACGTCCCTATTAAATAAACAAAAACGATTTGGCGCCTTTGTTCTGTCATTTCTAACCTCAAATTTTGTTTTAGATTTTAATGCTTCTTGTTGGTAGAAGAGAATGGATATAGAATGTAGAAATATTCCAATACATTCACCAATAATACCTTGGAGTTACTCAATATGTTGGACAATGCAGGAAATTATTCCCGGATTATTCTTAGGACCTTATTCGGTTGCCTTAAAGAACTGCCGTAACCAACTATTAGATCAGGGAATTACTCACATTATATGTGTTCGTCAACCGATAGAAGCTCACTTTGTTAAACCACATTTTAATGATGCAATTTTTACATATTTAATATTAGATATTGTGGATATGGCCACAGAAAACATCATCCGATTTTTTCCTAAAGTAAAACAGTTTGTAGATGATGCTCTTTCTAAAAATGCTAAAGTTCTGATTCACGGCAATACGGGTACTTCGCGAAGTGCCACTCTCGTTCTTGCTTATATTATGGAAAAATTGGGACTTACCTGCAGGTAGCAATCCAATTTATTTTAATGTTGTGTACATTACTTCGTATATTTCAGGGATGCGTTCATGCTAGTAAAGGAAAGGAGGGCTTGTATTAAACCAAATGAGGGATTTTTTGCTCAACTGATCGAATACGAACCAATTTATAAGGCTAAACAAATTTTCGAACGTGGAGAGTCTTCCTCTGATCATCAACGGCACAAGCGTAAAAGTGAGCATCTTACTGAAATTGTCGATGTCGATTTAATTCAACCCCCGTCGAGTCCCGTAAACGGAGATCACGAAGATATATCGATGAAAGAATTAGAAATCTACTGTAGACAATTCAATTTGTTATGATAACTAGTTCAATTTTAGTGACAATTTGTGATGAATTTCAGGTGTATCTCGATGTACATAGTTACATATTTTTTTTGAAAGGTTGACTATTATTTACCTAACTAATAATTTAAATTAGAAAGAAACAGTATTTACTTACGTTTAACAAATATAATTAAGGGTAGTTACTATATAATTTTAAGCAATATTTTTTCGTATTATTCTTCATGTGTTGTTATTTAGTTTTATCGTTTGATCTAGTCAAATTGTTGTTATGAAGGTTCTTAACATCTAAACTAGTTACTTACAGTTAGGCAATTTGATAAGTAAAAATAATTTGATACTAATTCAATATACCTAAAGAAATTGTGCCTAAATCATTACCTTTAAGAGAGAATATTTTTGTACTTTTGTATCCAGTTTTGTTCCTAAAATAAATCATTTTTATGTATAATACTTGTTTCCATGACTGTGGGTCATACTGTTCAGGAAAGAGCAAAAGACTGGTCACAAGGATAGATAGTAAAAATAAGACATATCTATTGGGAAATATGTAGGTACATATTGCCCATTCTCACACTTCTTGATATAGTACCATACATACGAAAGAAAGATAGTTTGCTGGAGAGATGTAACGGAGGTTCGATTCCGAAACTGCGGAACTTCCGATTTATATTGCACTTTCGATTCCTATTTCGGTTCCGACAAATTTTAATCGAATGTTAGATCGGAAGTTGATGGACAGCGGCGGTGCGGCCACAATCAGTGCATTTGCGCACAAACACGTTTACACTTGTCGCGGGGGACCTCCTCACCCCTTTCCTTCTGTTGATTATCTTTTCACTATTTTTTTCCATTAAATTTGCTTCTTTTCGAGTAACTTGATTTGTTATATTTACATATTAGTACTGTTTCAGATGTGACATGTTTCTTTTGCCCGCGATTACGGTTCCGATAAACCAAATGTAAAAACTCCGCTTCCGAATTCGGTTCCGATATAAACACTTCCGTTACATCCCTACTTTGCTGGAATAATTAGCTTCCTAGTGCTACTCGCTTTTTGTTGATTAGATAACGACCAAAATCAAACGAGTGCCCTACTACAGAAATTCTGCATCTGAGCAGTTTGTAATGCTCTCATAAGTAAACAAATACCTTCGAACCTTAAGTGAGTTAGGGCGGTAGTGTAGTTTCCCGTGAGCTTCGCCTAGATTATTTCGGACGGGCATTGCTTGCGAGAAAGAAAGAAAAATAAATGGATTTTTTATGTTATGTAGAACATCGTTTTAAGTTTTCTGCTGACAAAATTATTACGCAAAGGACTGACATGAAAATATAAAATATTCACGCTTATTATGAATAATTCATTCAAGAGGTATTCTAAAACTTACCTATAAAGACTTATCCGCCCAAATCTACTTGTCTGCATGGCAGAGATTTTCGATCAGCTGTATTGGATACAACTTTATCACACATATTTTATTAGAATCTTTTTGCTAAAAACGGGAAATGGAATTTTCCAATTCGCCAGTGTTTCAATTTGACGAACTCAGCTTTCTGAATGACGTTTCGTAAAATAATGTATTTTTTATTACATTAAATTTAAAATTACATGGCCACAAAACATATAATACTATGCTAATTAGCTAATCTAATAGATTTTAAAATGTATGACAAATTACCACATTTTAGGGCACAGAAAAATGATACGATGAACATACCTATAGTATATGATTTGATGAAGCACAGATATTATCTGTAGATGACATGATCGTAAAGTACTCTAAAATTATGATGTTCGGATTTCTCCTGCACATAAAAATTTTACACACATTTCGAAGTTACACTTTAAATGAAATTTTGACTTTAGCAATTTAGCCACAAAATTCATTCTTCATTTCTCTTAACCAGTATGATACAAAATTGCAAGTTGATATGAAATTTGAATTGAAATTATTCACCACGAATACATTGTATTTCATTCTTAGCAACAATTCAATATGTCTTGAAATCCATGATTTTAAATTTAAAATAATAATCGACAATGCAATGCACAAACACTTTGCTACATATAAAACACACCCATTGTTTTAAAGAAAGATATACAAGTATTCAAACTGCACCACAGTCATTGTGCTTGCATTTAAAGAAAACAGTTTTAAAAAAAATGCCGTGTTTGTAACAAGCTGAGTTAATTTTTTAGTAAATGAAAAACGACTTTGTACAAAAAGCATTCTTTTTTTAGATTACACATGCGTTACATAATCTAAAATTATTTTATGGAGGGTCTACATTATATAGGTACCGTACATTTACCTACGCCTTGAGATATCGCAATGATATTTGCACTTTTCTACACTACTATTACGATTTACATCTTGTAACAACATATCATTACAATATCCGACTAATGTTAGAATTAGTATGATTACAATTATGCAAAGATGGACTCTCATATGCAATAATTTTTTTTAAAGCTGAAGGTAATATAAAAACTGTTCTCAGTTCTTATTATTTAATGCATATGATAGACTAAAAAATTATTTTTTGAAATTTTAAAAATATACTTAAATAACACTGTAGTTTATGTGTATGTAAAATTACACTATATCTCAATTATTATCAAGTTGCGTTAAACAGATTAAGTACATTTAAACAAGTATTTTACAAATATCGCACATCAATTAAATATTAATTGGAATGATCTTCTAGGTAGTTTTACAATATAATTAAGTAAATCTTAAAAAATATTAAAACAATTAAAACATGTGGCGGATATATATATTTCAGTAGTTACGTATTAAATTAGTAAAATATATTCGAAAAGACATATTCTAGCTATAGGTAGGTACTCATTTCATTTATTTAACAATGTTAAAGGCGGGGCATGCACACTGAGAGCACTGCGGATATAATGTCGTGGCCAGAGATTTTTCTGCAATACGGACTTGCAAGTTGATAGGATAATATACAGTTTCCAATATACTATGATTACTGAAAATTGTTTTTAGCACTTTGTTCTTGAGATACACCTTTGCATACATTTAAAACAAAATTCACCTATTGCTTTCATTTGTAAATATGATGGACACTTTAAAGCTATATGATATTAAACTATACTCGAAGTTTCTTCTCTATCGTCATTGATATGCTGCACCAGTGTATTCTCTTATAGCATATTTACTTCGCAAACAAAAGAAACAGCTTAAGTATCATAATACTGCATAATACCTACCACTGCAAAGGTGCTGTCCCTCAAAAAACTTGTATCTATTTAAAACCAATGAGCAATTTGGAATCGAATAATGGTTGTAGTATACAATGTAGACTTCATGTAATACTGACACGAATAAGTATAGCAATCAGAAAATTATTTGTAACTAACTATTGGACGGGTAATATAATGCGGGTAGAACAATCGTACTAGTAGTCGTTTAGTGTTTCTAAGCTTATGTCTTAAAATTCACTTCTGCAATTGTTTTAGTCATCTACCAGTTGTACCAGTATCCGCCACTATAAACTTTATTTTAAATATTAAACAATAATTAACATCTATTGTACAAAAAGGCTGCCAAGCAAAATAATATCAACCATATTATAATTTAAATTAAAATGTCCAAATTTGAATTATAAGAACATAAATTATTCTTTCACTTCAAAATATTTGTATGTTGGATTTTCGTATCCATTTATTTGCATATTGGCGACATGCCGCTCTTCCGGTGTCGCTGCTTGATCTACCTCTACAAAGCCTTGTCCTTGTGGGGATCGGGCTGACCTACGCCTTGCCACCGCGATTCCCACGACTATTGCTGCCATTAGGGCCATGCCGGCGAAGGCAAGAGTGAAGTACACACTTTTACCATCCCTATGGCCGTACACCTCTCGCCGAACTGAGTATGTCTAGAATATTAATAGGGATGACCTTTCGCGATAGTAAATTTACAAATTATGAAGTGCAAGCGAGGCAAGAAGGAGAAGTGTGCTTAAGCTAAAAAAGCATTCGGAATTTACTTACAGCTTCTCCATGACTAATGTCATGCGTCATCGCATGTGCAACACGTATCACATCCTGTTGATGAGCTACGGCAGCAACTTCTTCAACTGCCTGCTGAACAGCAGCATCATCCACTTCATGACGCTGCTCAACAGTGGTAACAGGATTGCTGATCATCTCTGACATTGTGCTTCCAGAAGTAGAAGATGGTGTAGTCTGCAACCGTTAATAAATGAATATAAAATTGTAAGTAAAACATGGTACACTCACTCTGTCTTCTGGTAATGATTCATTTTCCATATCTTCTGGATCAAAATTACTAATTTTTTTACCCAGCGCTTCTTCCACTCGTTTCTTTTCATCTCGCAACTCCATCCTTTCTTTCTTTCTTTGTTCTTTTCTAGCCTTTTCCTGCAATCGTTGTCTTTCTCGTTCCGCTTGCTTGCTTACCACTTCGGATTTGTATTTGTCCAAAATGGCCGCTTCGGCGTCTGTGGTCATCGCCAGAAGCGATCCGGGAGTTTCGTCTTTTGATCTTAGAGCTTGAATGTAATCGTCCATTAGTTGACCGATCTTCGAGGATAACTCCGGGTAACGTTTTAACATTTGCATGCTCTGATTCACTGTGCGATCTATGTCTGTTAAACGTTCCAGTGTTCTCGCTTGTTCCCGATTTGCCGCTTCCAAGCTACTCTGCAATAAGTGGCGGTAGTGCGTAATGGCATGCGCACGGTCTTTGTGAAGGGCGCGAAGTAATTTTTGTAAGCATTTTTGCACGCGGTGAGTCTGTAAGAAAATGAACAATTAAGATGAAATGTTTCAGGGAAAAGAAAATACATATACATTAGGTGGCTGGTCATTCAAAGCTTGCGTGTAACAGGTCATGGCCTCTTTTTTTCTTTGGTTAATGTGAGCAAGTACTCGCTGTTGATGCATGGCGGCCAATTGGTGTTTCTCAGCGTCGCCTTCTTCTTCTAATGCCTGAACAGTTTGTTGGAATCTCTGAGTCATTCTTTGTTTGAAGCTATCAGCACCTCGTGGGTCGCTAGATCTCATGTCTTGGTAACGTTCCTCTAAGTCTGACCAATCTTTCATAACTCGCGTTACCTTTTCTCGATGAGCCTCCTCTAAACGTTCCTAAAGTAATAATAGAACGTTAAATTGAAGTTCAACAAGTAGTTGCAACGCGTACCTGTGCTTCTTTATAACTTTGATGTTCATTTCTGGGATCGAAGTGGGTGAAGTATGGATCGGGTGTTGGCAACGGTGTAATTCGAGTAGAGGATACGGTAGATGATGGCGGCGCTGTAGATTTTGGCACATACGTTGTGCTGGAAGGTGTCGTGTCCCAATTTTGATCATTTTCATCGTAATCGTCATCGTCCTCTTCTTCATCCTCTACGCCGGGATCGTCGGCTAATTCGGTATCGTCACCAAGGTCCTCCAAATCATCTTTCTCTTCATCGTCATCGTCTTCTTCTGAATCCAACGATTCGTCGTCGGTATCTAGCAGTTCTTGTTGGTCATATTTCAAAACTGCCAAATCAATGGGTTTCTTGGGTTTCATGTTATCTACAAAGAAAAGAAAAGTTTCGTATACCTAATCTGCCTTCGTGACTGTTTCGAATACTTTCATAGAACAAACCATATGCATAATTCTTATATTTGTGAAAAAATAAATCATATTAGCCATAAAAAGGCACATACTTTCGTATTAGAATATACAATTTGCTTTATTGAATTATAAAGAGAACGAGCTAGTGGCTAGACTAGACCATAAAACTACTCTGAATATAAATTTCAGTTGAGCGTTAAATTAGATAGGGGTTATACGCAATATATTTAAGTCACGAATTTTGCTGATATAAGTTGTATAGTGCTCTGAAATAAGACGCGCCTCACATAGAACGACGTCTATTCTAAATTAAATTCTTTACTTGTTTGAAACGATGAAGAATCACCATTACATTACAATTGTATGTAGAAACAACCAAAACGTTCACAATAAGCTTGTACAAAAAAGCTCGACCTGTAAACAGATGCATCCAATTTTAAACTGTCAAATCAATACTTTTAATAACTTAATCGACAAATAGTTAAATGTGAATCCATACTCCAAACGAATTTCCGGTAAAATCACCTTCATATTCTACGTTCAAATTAGCGAATACGAAAAGAGACTGCCGTATACATGTTTAAAACTGGAAGCAACTTTGACAGTTTCTATAAACAACCCCCGGATAATTCAAAGAGATGCCCAAACTGATCTTTTGGTAACCTAAGAGTTAGAGAAGTAGTTTACATAAAGTTTGTCCCTACAGGCTGATTGTAAGTTAAAGAAAGTTATTGCGGCTACGTTTTCTTTTACGTACATTACTTACGTTAAAAGTATCAAAAAAAAATTACCTTGAAATACGCCGTTTCTGGTCTATTACAAAAGAGAAAGGGATAATATTTATAGACTTCAAGTATTTCGCATTATTTGGAATGATTAAATACCCCTCAAAATAGGTATGTATATACTTTGTATGTTTATTGTTATGTTATCATTTATTAAGGATCCTCAGATTCTTTATAGTTTTGTATGGTTGTCCGTCCTTCTGTCCGCTCGTTGGTCTGTGTTCACTATAACTGTTACCTTATGTCCCTAGATACCAGGGCCGTAGTCAGAGGCTCCGAGTGAGGGGGGTGTATGCAATAAAAAATGCCGACTTCAATAAAAATTCAAAATAATACATCGTACAACATTAAACGACGGCATTTTAACACTGCCCATTGTGACACTATTTTTTCCAAATGTATACTGTCTGCTATATCTTTTTCTGATTACTTAGATAGAACCAATAAGGCAGTTAGCCAATTATCCGCCATAGAGGAACGCAAATGATTTTTAATTAAACTATATAATAAATATCAAAGTAATAATAATTATTATTATTTTATTATTTGTCATTATACAGAGTGCTCTTTTTTCGCGGCTGTCATGGATATGGATTCTATTTTATTTCTATTTGCACGAAAACCGAGTCGAAGTGGGACGTTTAGAAGACTTTTACAGAGGAATTTGATAAATATGGCCAGAATGGCATAGAACATTTTTTTTGCGTTAGAGTCGCTAAATTTCATCTTATGAACTTTCATCAGAGTTATTTTTCTCTGACGTACCATAGCTTTTAATTTACTACTTTGATTTTACCAAAATACCTTATTATTCAATTTTCACGACAGTGCTTTAGAAATTGCAGCCAAACTCATTTGCGGATTTGCTTTTGTAGTTTACATTTATAATCAAGATAATTAATAAAAATTTTAAGTTAAAAGTAGTAATCTATCCAAAACCGATTTTTGTCTAAAAGACACTCTCGTGACAATTGAATAATTAAGTGTTATATTTAAAATGTAATATAGAAATCCATAGTAAATTCTTTATTAAAAAAATCTAAAAATTCAATGTGACCCCTACGTTCAAAACAAATTCAAAAAATAATGCCATAGTCTAAACCGCCCATTTCTGAAGTATAATAAATAAATAAATAAATAGGTATACTCGTTTTTTTTTAAATACAGAATTATTAAAACGCAGAATTCAGTTTTTTTAATTATTGAAACTAAAAGAGATATCCCACAAGTGGTTTCAATGATTGATTCACATTTTAAATTTAACTTTACCCCAATTTGACTATTAGTTTTCAACATAAGAGATCCCATCGTCAGGCGCTAAAAATGACCACCCTGTATACTTATCTACCATCTATTCCTATCGCAACTTTTAAACCCATGCAAACATAACGGCTAGAAAAATTTGCGGAACATTTTTAAGCGACCTTTAACCATGAAAGGTAATGGATCTACATCCTCGTAATATCAATGAGAGTAATAACCAATGTTTCTTCATTTTGCGTGGAAGGGGCGGCTACGAAACGGTTTTCCGGCTTACCGGCGTATTTTACGCAATTTTTTTCCAATATTAATTAAATTAATTTAATTTGAATAGCGATTTGCCGAGTGCCGACTAACTGAAGTTTTGCCGACTATGGTCACGCGTTAGGGGGGGTGTGACACCCCCATACCCCCCCGTCAATCCGGCCCTGCTAGATACTTTCTAAAGGTTTTAATTTTTGTTCATCCGTCCGTCCGTCATATACAATGTTGAGTACAATGTTCTGGTAGAACAATAAAATCCTAAAGTCAAGGAAATCTTTATATCGTTTTCGGGTCTCTTAAATACCTTCCATTAAACTATTTAGACCTTTTGAGACACTTGCATGCCCACATTCTAGACTATCTTAGAAACTCTATAAGTAAGTAAGTATAAAAAGCGCTGGTAGGAAGTGGAAAGATCGGGAAAGGAACTAAAACGCGCATGAAAGTTTCTAAAGAGCTTAGAAATGACGACTAACACGCTCTTTTAGTAAAATCTAGAGTGTGAATTCGAACACTAAAGTCAGAGTACTAAACCCCCCTTCGCCTTCATGCAAAAATATAAATATTGGAAAAGAAGCTATTATTCGAAATTATTCTTGGGGTAAGACAAGGATCTTTAATTCAAGTGTCTATACCGGAACGTTATTTTTACACTACAAATGGCAACCGCCGCCGCAAAAGCTTTGAATTTAAAAACAATTGGAATAATGAAAATTAGTCATTAGGGGGGTACAATTCCTACATGAAATTTTAAATGGGCTAAATTACACTTGATGAAGCCCCAAACCCAATACAAATAGCCACATTAATTTTCCATGACGTAGTCATTATTCGGGACACTGCATTTGCGGTATTCTCTACCCTATACAGCGCAAATTATAACTTACCTAGTTTGAAACCCTCACACAAATAAAATGCAATTAAAATTTTAATTGAATTAGGCACACACTTTGACCATTTTCTGTAAAAACGAAAAGAATATAACGTGAAATGAAAATGTTAGCGTTGTTAATTTAATATACCAAATCGATTACGGTAATTAAGAAAAAGATAGAAGGGGGAAAATTATATTAGCATAAGGTGGTAAGTTTCCAATTGAAGAACTTTTCAGTTTTATGCTTTGCAACCACAGTAATAACACGCGGATAAATTTTTATGAAGATCCGAACGCGCTTAGGCTGAACAGTTTCTTTAGGAAATCATACTTCTGTCTGTCTGCCTGTCCGTGACTGTTAACAGAGTAACTGATTTGCTAAATTTTCGTTAATACATCGCTTAAGTCAGCCGCTCCAATAGGTTTGTAAATTAACAAAATCGGATTGACTATAAAATTACTGTTTTGTACAATTGTAAAATCTCAATATAATTATTTAGACAATGTAAGCCTGGATGCCAAAGTCGTCAATTTGATGTAAAATGGCACCGTGAATTTCAACAAATCATATCAAAATCGTACTTATGCTGTAGGTACATTTTAGTTGAGATGGCCAAAAATTCAATATTATATTGTTATCGCATTCCACCCCTTGCTCAAAACTGCATTTGAAATTATGGAAATAAAAAATAATAAAAAGGTCATATGACTATTTTTAGCATCAGCACCACTACCTAAGCCTTTTTCAATGATACAGGGCTCCTTATAGTAAATATTTACCTAAACACAAAATTTCACTTAATTTCTATTATTGGTAACTACGTAGCTGTGAATTCTACGTTAGAAGCAGCATTAATAATGACGCAATTTTATTCAATTACGTGTATAATTAAATCCTTATTTTCGCTATTAATGATTTCATCTGTTACAGTTTTAATTAAATTCAATCAATTAACTGATCATCAGGGTTTTCTTTTAACAAAACAAAGCTGTACTTTTACAACAAAATCTGTGCAAGAACCCCATTGAAAACTTGCCCCCTATAACACGAAAATAAAACGAATGATTATGGCACGCCGAAAGAAAAGCATTAGTTGAGTACGTTGCTCATTCAAGTTCGTATAAAAAGGCATTACCTACTAAACGTTCACGTGTGGTAGAATTTACCACACAATTTATGTTTGGTCCGCTCATATGCACTATTTTGAGTTAGAAATTTGCATTGCATCACCTGTCGAAAAGCATTTTTGAAACGTTATAATGTTTTCCATTTCCATAGATCTTTCTATGTTTATTTTCTTGTTTATGTACTTTGACCAAAGAAAGTAAAATAAAGTTACATAAAAGAAACGCCGTTGAATTAGACACAGGAGCATCGTAAACATTTTGGAAACTACATTAACTGTTTTATACAAACACACGCCTTCTTCTTCATTCGGTAATATCAGGGTAATACATTTTTAATGTTAACGAACTGACAGCACGCGTGGTTATTTCACTTACATATTTAACGATAAATCTCAAAGGTATAATCTCCATTCGTAGAATAAAAGTTTCATTTGAACGCGACCTATAATTCGGTACCCGACTAGCATGAAGCAATTTATTTGGTGGCAGACTTGTGAGGGTAGTTGATGGATACGTTATTAAAATAAGAGCACGGTCACGAATAAAAACGATAAACATGCCAATTTATTTTTTGATCTATTTGTTGATAAAACACGCTCTTTCCTTCACGCAAATTACGAAAGTACAATAGAACCTTTACCTTTCAGATGTTTTGGACAACAAACGAATTCAACTCCACTGAAGAGCGAAATTCCACAGGGCAGTAACATCGCAAACGATCGCAATTGCAACCCCCTTTCTTGACAAGCATTGGCAGCCGTCGAATTCCAGCGTCCAAACGTCCAACAGTTGCTTTGATTATGGATGTGATCGAAAAGGCAATTCTCCGGCACTAAAAGAGCGTCCGATTGGAATGGGCCCTCTGCAAAGAAACATTATATGAATTTTTTAATCAAACAACGGAAAATGTAACGGCCGTATGATACCAGTAATAACGCATTAATATTCTTAAATCGTCGCTCGATTCGTGTACAGAACTTTAACCGGTAGCTGAAGTTACAAGGGGTAATTTCTAATCCCCATTGCAAGGATGTAATTATAGCATCAAGATAGATTTCACAATTATGTTTTAGTACAATAGCACTTCCATACGTATCGTGCAAAAGTATTAGGTGCAATCTTGCTGATGATAATAGAAAAAGAGAAACTATTAATATACTTTATGGATAGTTTGAAATTATTTTGACAGGCATCATCTCGCTATTGTCAAGTTATAATTACCTACCTACGTCGAGCTTAAAACTATTGTGTGCAATACATTGCCTTACACGTTAGTTCGTAGCTGTAACAGACATTCAATTAAAACTTTACTTATTCGCAAGAATTTTTTTAATAGAGATACGCTGGTAGAATCGTTATGTGGTTAATTCGTGCGTGGATTTTATTCTTAGTTAAGACACTCTTATCTTATGTGCTGGATAAATGTAATATCTGTGCATATTATACCTACACGTACTTTATTTAATGCATTAAAGGTACCTAGTTGAAAGAAAATAATTAAAAAAATTAGATCTGAATAAAGTAAAGTATGTAATTGCAAAAAATGATAAATTTTGCAACCAAATATGGAACCATAAGAAACGTTCAATGTGGCTTTTTAAAGAGAAAACAACCTTTTCAGCAATACACAGAGTTTTAGATACATTATTAAATAACAATTTGGATAAGCGAAATAAATGTATTGGGAATGTTTTTGGACCAAGCTTTTGACTTGGTGGATCATAAATACATTTTTATTAATATTAATTTGAAAATTCTAAATGCAGTTAAGTGAGTTACTCAGTTACGATGAAAATAAGGTAGATCCCTCGGTAGATCCGTACTTGTCTCAGCGAAAAAATCATCGCAAGTAACCTCCTAATTACCACCATAATTAAAATTAGTCCTTCCCCTTTTCCAGTTTTCTTTAATTACGTATTATTAATACATTCTAGAAGTGAAACCAGTTTAGACCACTTAATTTTGAAATAATTTGAACTTTAAAGTGAAAAACGAATTTCTGTAATTTTGTGAAGAACGTCCTTCTCTTCAAAATAAGTACAAAACAACTGGAGATACGTAAAAAATACTACAGCATCCAATTGGAGCTTTTTTAATTCCAAACATTTTCCTCAACGCCAATTTTCTGTATGTTCCAAAGCCTCTAACAATCAGTACTCCACTTATCTGAACCACATTTTTCTCACCTTAAGCTTTAATATGCAGTTTTGTGGGTTTTGGCAAAAAATGGTAGTTTCCACCCTAAAAAGTGAAGAGTGCATCGGCATAATATAGATTTTGAAGTGGAGGGTAAGTTCAACTTCGCCCAAATTTTCATGCAAATCGATGCATTTTGAAAAAAATGCCAGGTTTTATACTATTTTAAGTTTCGTTTCCTGGACTATTGAGCGGGACTTCAATTTTGATACCAGCGAAAATTCTTCAGGATAAATTTGGACAAATTGGGAATTAATGCGAAAGAAATTCTGTAAAAGCTTAAGAGGAAATTTGGACATAAGTAGATTTCACAAATTTCTTGTTAATGTCATTACTTCATTTGTTTTTGTAGCAACAATAAAAGAGTACCCTTGGAAAAAAACAAACAAAATAAGGATCGAATGAAATAAGAGCAAGATTTCTTGTGCTGAAACGCGCAGAAATCCACACTTATTCTTATAAGCAGGCGAAGGGCATCGAGGGCGAATTGAAAACCTCAGAGGAACGTGAAAAAATCATTTTAGAGGGGCTTACAAGACGCTTTAGATTAAATTGAGCAAAATTTGAGAGGAATAATGATATGAAAAAAATTTGATAGAAGCTAAAGTGGCAACAAGGAAGAACTTAGGACTAAAGTGAGAGTCGCTTCCTGAAGAGAACTTGAAAAGAAGTTGAGAAAAACTTGGAGTATGAAAGTAACTTGAGACGAGAACTTGAAAGGCACCTGAGAAAAGCTGGGAAATTACCTAGGAAAATTTTAGAGAAAGCGAGGCGAAACGTGTAGGTACTGCAAAACACAAAATCCGAGATTTCTGAAAAATGTTTATTGGGATGGCTGAGATTTCAAGCGGTAGCATGCATTGTGTTGGCTACCAAATATCACATACGAAATATTTAGCCCCAAATTCACGGAAGGAACGCACTGAATTAGTTAACTTATCATGTCTTCTGAAATTGTATGTAAGGAGGAAATCTTCAGAAGAGGGGATCATCACCACCTCTTAAAATAAGACCAAGAAAAGCACAGGATACTTTGAGAATTTGGAAGATGAGAAGTTGCTTGAATTGCATCCCTATAGGAGACGACAAGAAATCGTCGCGCAGGACAAAAAATTTTACTATGCGAAACACTCAATGCAGGGGCAATTTAAAATGTCATGGAGTTATTTATTACTAATTCAGTAAGTGCTTAGAAGGCATAAAAGTTAAATGGTGGCATTCAAGAAGCTTACGAAGAATTTAAAAGGATTTTAAGAAGCAAATCCGGAGTAATTCAAGAAACGATTTCAAGAGAAATTTAAATGCATTTTTATGCTCACAAATAATAAGTAATAAGAATGAGTAATTAATAAGAATTAAGTAAATGAAACCTCCTTGAAACAAATTCAAAGCGATATGGGCTGTAAGAGGAATCCGGAAAAAATAATCTTGAACGGAGTACGAGAAATTTACGAAGCAATTAATATGAATTCATTAAAAATTCAAGACACATCAAGAAACAGACCTGAAAGTGGAACAATTGAAGTCAAACGCATAAAGAAAGTAAGAAAAGTTTAGAAAGGGTTCAAGAGGATTTCCAATGGCGCGAAAAATTTAAAAATATACTCACATGAAAAGGAACTGAAAGAGAATTCAGAAGTAATAATGAGAAAATCAGTAAGAATTTGGTGGTAATTCATAATCAAATCATTAGAAGTTAATGTTACCGGACCTTTGTCTTATTTACGTACCGTCATTCGTAAGGGAATGATTTAAATAAAGGAGATTGTTATTTAAGCATTTAGGGATGGTAAATCAAAAGCGCCTTCGAGAATAGCAACCAGGGCTTTGCAGCTCATGACCCCCCGCAATATTTTCTCTTATTTCCATCAACATTTCTTTGTTTACATTGCCTAACATTTGTTCTAGCGTCATCAATTTCCTCATATTTCTTACAGGCTTCTTTCTCAGCTCGTAATTTCCGATGGAATGGACAACAATTTCCCCCGTGAATGTGGTCAACCTCTCGTGGTCATTATTTCCCATATGTATGAAGGAGAAGTCAAACCCAGAAAGTACTATTCTCTTCGCATCCTTCTGAAACTGCCTGCTTTTCATTCCATTCATTTGCAGCCTTAAAAAACGACGTTACTGCGCTCTCAAAGGCATCTTGAGGGAAATTTGCGGCTCAGAGGTATTTTGTAGATGTAATTCTAATGCAAGTTTTCACTAGTATTATATCAGTTGATAATAAGATCTCCATGCTGGCAACGATATTTTATTATCAAATAAAAGAAAAAAATTTGATTTTCGCTAACATTAAAAAAATATTGTACATTAATTATGCGTAATGCGTCATTGAGCACCAACAAATTGAATTCACTCAACTCTTGACTCTTCAGTGGCTTAATAATCAAGTAACTGATAACGCATGAAATTGAAATATCCAACTCATTCGATTTTCGAATGCAGGGACATTAAACTGTTCACAATTTCCTTTTCATTCCGAGCTCGAAATTAATAATCGTACCTATATATGATGAAGTTGTTTCCGAGGGTCTCTCAATTTGCCTGTATCAAAATTAGTGAAGCGAACACTTTCAACAAATTTCAATTAAGAAATTTATGTATAACTCAATTGGGTAGGTAAATATAACAATTAATAATTACATAATCGCGTTTCCTCAAATTGAAATACGCACAATATATATGCTACGGTTTGATCTTTAACAAAGGAGGAAGATACAAATAAGTCAAAGAACGTATACGGTATTTGACTACCGTGCACAAAAGAAAAGCCTCAATATGATTTCGCTGATTTTTCATGTATTTTATTCAAATTCTGACGATCTCTCGTAGAGATTTTGTGACTTTAAATATATTCATAGACTGAAAGTATTTGAAATGTGATGGCGATACCTGTAATTTCTGATGACTTTCTATCAAGTAAAACTTACAATTCAATTTATACAACTAATTTGTATTACTTTAATTGCTCAATTACTTTCTTTCTTGCCACAAAAAGATCCAAGATCCAAAATTCTCGATTCCACGACGCTCACAATGATAGCTAGGCCTAGGTCTTATGAAGTGCCATTGGTCCAAAAACGGAAACCATCTGATCGTCGACAGTTTGCTGATTCATTCTATGATTGAGCAAGGCGCTATACTTTTGGAAGCAATCGATCGATAAGACAGCATTATTTTTCAGTAATTGTGATACATTTAAATAAAAATTTCAGAACATTCATTAAGTTAAGGAAATAAAGTCCTTATGGAAATAGTACATTATATATCAAGGTAGAGAAGTCCACTATTATTGCCTGAGCACCAAGATTACATCTCGAGGCGCTTGCGCCGAGGGGTGTAAGGTGCAAAGGCAATAATAGACTTCTCTACCGTGGTATATATACTATTTTTTTCACTACTAGCACTTGAAATCCTCTAAATTAACATATTATATTGATAAGAGAGTTAACGGTTGGACAGAATTGTTTGTTTCTTAGTTTAACATGTCAATCAAGTACGTGGAAGTACAAGTCAAACAGGCCGTATTTTGTTCTGTCATTGAGATTTTTCAAAGAGTAATTTCGTTCGAATTTTTTCAAATGTGATAATTTTAGGTATGTAATTTCTCTGGAAATTGCGAATGGTGGCAATTATTCGTTTTAGAGAACTTGTCTAAAC